AGTTTCACCTGGTAAAGCTTGCCTTCATCCTATTTCAGATGATGCAGTAATGCAAAATATGACTACAAAACATGCCTACTGTACTTCTCTACAATCAGATACAAATGACAACTGAGAATATAGATATGAACTAACACAAACTCACACATTTGAACATACAGAGGGGGTCAGGCAGTTTTGACCAAGGTCAGTGAGGGTTTACCTAGCTCATACACCACTGGCTGGCAATAGGCCTTTCCACTCTGGTTTAGCAATGGAAATGTTGGCTCAGTTATGGTTGTGTGTTCAAGGACTACCCGCATAGAATAAAGTTCTTCCCTCGATAGACAACGCACACAAGCACCAGAATGGAGTGGAAGCGAGTGAGACGGGACACAAGCAAGTGCACAGAGATGCATATTTTAATAAAAATAATTCTGTCAAAATACAACAGACTGTGGGTTTCTATATTTCCAGTACAATTTATCTCTCTCTCTTTTTTTTTTTTTTGTCAGTTAAAATGTCCTCCTTTGGGAAGGTTTTCATGCTAGAGTTGGTTTAACTGAACTCACAAATACTAAGCAGAAACGGATCCAAATGTGCATGAGCTCTGTCAAGTCCTCAATAAAAGGAAAATGAAGCATGAGATCAGGGAAGCCTGGTGGGAACTCAACATGCTGCTTGGCCCGTTTATTTGGTAGGATATACTTTAAAAAATCCTTACAGTTGGTATAATAAAATTGTTGAAACAAAGAGGGTTTGAGATGCCATGCGAGAACTGGTACCTGAGTTTGCAGCAAATGAGAGGAAGAGAAAAATAAAGAATTGTTTTCTTTTTCAGTGTCAGATCCAAAATGTAATCCAATTATGTCTGGCAGCGATCTTTCTTGCTACTTCAGGATGAGCACCCAAATCTTAAAGCTCCAGCCCAATGTTGTTGTTTTTTTTAAACAAACCTCAGGTCCAAAGATTTGAACATACTTGTTGGTAGTGACCCTCTTCTACACCTATTGTACTTCTCAAATATTCCCAAAACAAGTTCCCAAAAGAAGACGGGTTAAATGAATCAATTGGATAAGGGGATTTGGCACTTTTATTTGGTTACAGGATGCAGAGGACCATAACGGGGGTAAGTGAAGCACCAACTCTTGTTGGCGTGACTGCTGCTCCTTGTTGAAAAAGCGATGATTGACATCAAGACACCCAGTTTGAATCATTGGTAGGCGACATTCCAGTTCTAGAACGTTCTATAATTTACAGCCAACAACTCCTGGAAGTGGTGGCAAAAACTACATGGAAGAAAAATGAGATGGTTCTTTGAACAAGAACAGCTACCAGGGCTCTGAAATTCCTCAAAATCAACCACCCTTCCCATTCGAATGTCATCCAGAGATGTTGGACTACAATTAGCCATTGTCTTCGCACTTGGGAAAGCATAATTGCAGATTATTCCACCGCTGTAATCATGGAAGAGTCACTCTTGCATTCAGGATTTTCCAATGTCCATTTTACAGGCACCATGGCCAGCGATGCGTAGTCTGAAGTATGATCAACATGTCAAATGATCAGAAAATGAGCTGCTATGCCTTAGTCACTCATTGTACTGATTAATGGTTGATAAAAATCTGGATTGTTCACAAAAGGTTTCTGACAGGATGACAAAATCAGTCAGATAGTGTCAAAACGAAAATATTTCTTTTCTTTGAATTTCTTATCTATGTCAAATCTTTTCATAAAAGCTTTTTTTAAAGGAAATACATCCTAAGGTATGTGATAGATACAACTTTATTATTACCTGGCAGAGCCTAACAATATCTTGTCAGGTTTCATCTTAAAATTGAGACTAAATGTAAACTGTGGCTTTCAGGCTAGACACGCCTCTGTCTCTTTTGCTGACCTAAGTATGGAGAACTCAAAGATTCTGTACCATTTTGTGCCCTTGAAAATGGTGAAAGCCTTGAACCACAAACACAATTTAAATGTTCTTCCCTTCAACGATTCCACAGGATTTCAAACAACCCTTTTCCGTATGTACTCTGGTCTCTTTAGAGCAATTATAACTAGTGTTCAAATATCTGATCGTCTTGGATCACATTCCAAGACTCATAAACCTCTGAATCAGGCATAGCGCAATGCTTCCTAAATTACATTTCACCTGCTGCATCTACAGGACTGTGGCATCAAAATGTTGAGTCATCCAATTTTCTTTGATGAGGAAAACTGAAGCTTTTTCTCTTTTACACATTTGTCACCACTGCCACACCACCTGCTAGAGATGGCCACTAGCTACTTGTCTGAGAAAATATTTTACAGTGAAAATCCTGCCATGGAAACAGTTAACTTTTAAGCAAAGGACAGCAAAGAGCTTGGGGGAAAAAAAGCAGCCGACAGAGAAGAACAACAAAAAAAAAACTTCCTGAAGCAACTTTGAAAAAGGACGAGATGGAAATTGGAGAAAACAAATCAAGCAGGAAAGAAATCTGCTCCCAAATAAGCAAGAGATTGGTTTGTTGAAGCTCATCTTAAGACGGTGAACATTTAAAACTTTTTCCCTAACTACTTGTAGAAGTATTATTCTTTATATTATTCATGTTGTCTTGTATTCTTGTAGGGACTGCACCAGTAGAGGCTCAACCAATTTTGTTGCATACATGATGTACAATGACAATAAAGGCTTTGAACTTTGAACTTTAAAACTGGAACTCAAACACTGGAAACCTCCTATGAAGCCTAAAAGCAAACTCAGCAGGCCAGGTAATTGCTAACTGGTATTGCTAATACAAACATTTGCCATATAGGAAGTTACAAAAGGTGGACAAATCATTCTGCTTTTAAACTGGTGTTGCCAATTATTTGGCGATACCGTAATTTTGTGGCTTGGCATTATGATGTTTAAACTAGCCTTAGACGACCTTGAAAAGGAATCGGGCAGGGTAAAATCCAATCACAGCAAATGTACAACTTCATGACCATCCAAGCAAAAGGAATGGTGGCTAGATGTTCCCCCTTGTCAAAAGTGCAAACCAGAAAACAATTCCTTTCGATCTAATCAGCACCTGGCCAAATTATGCAATGGGACCAGAGTCTGGAATTCTATATTTTCTGTAGAGTCAATTCTTTGATGTGCCCATTTTTCTTTCAGCATCTTGCACTAAAATTCAGTCTTGATCTGCCAAGGAATACATGGTCTTCCAGATTCGGGATGTCTTACTTACAAATCTGAAGCAAACATTGATCTCTGCTGGGCATTGGCAGGACTCTCCACAGAAATGAATGGAAGTTGCACCTTATTATTTCCCCAGGTTCCACTGACCTGATGATACTTGCATAATATTCGAAATATTCTGTGCATAGATGCATAGTTTTTTTTTCATCACAGCTACAAGACTCTCAATAAAAAACAAAACAAAAACCACTTTCCATGCTACAATAAATTAAAATTCCCTACCCTCAATGGAAGCATTTTTCTTCATCACATCAGAAACTTTTGTGTTATCTTCTGCAAGTTTTAATTAAAATGCCTTGTCTGCCCAACTTATGGATTTTAAAAAAATTCTTTCCAATTAATTTTTTTTAAAAGCTAGGCAAAATGTTGAAATAGACCGGCAAGCCAATAAATTATGTTTCAAACAAGCTTTTAGTACAGCAGAATTCCTCTGTTGTACTATAAAGTCATGCAGTTATCATTTCACTTGTGTACATTAAATTCGACTGGAGTTTCCAACCTGTTAAGTCTAGCAGTATTTTGTAAGGATTCTTACAATATATACGTTTGCAAAATGATTCCCAATTTGTTTGTTTTTTTAAAAAAAGATATTTTCCTTGGAGTAAAACTGCATTTTCTTTTTAAAAAAGAAAAGAAGAATATTGCCTTATGCCCTCTTTTCAATTGGGCAGGGGGGAGGGGGTAAGCAGGATAAAAACAAGGGTCTTATCAGTGTAATACCAAAGGCATAGAGGCAATGAAACACTGAAATAAAACGTTGGCTTCACAAACTCAAACACTGATGGGAGGGATTCTTGTCGCTTTAAAGACTCGTCTTTTCCTGACATGGAGGCATCTATCCACTTTATAAGGGAAGATCTTAGGAAGAGGTCTCTAGATTTAAAAAAAAAGACAAGAAAAAAAGAAAAGAAAGGAAAATGTTGGACCAATTCATAGCTCCCGTTTTCCATTACACCTCGATTCCATTCCAGGCGGCTGTTTGGGTACCAGGATGAGGAAAGCAGGCAAGCCGCCTTCTTTCCTCTTTGTGGTGAGTCTTAAGAGTTAGTCGTTGAGTTGCCTAGATGTGGCCGGGTGTGACAGAGGAGAAGTGCCCTTGCAGCAGCCTAGGATGGCTTTGATGAAGGAGAAGGAACCTGTGCTTCTTCCAGAGATTGTCAAGCTCCCAGCCACCCAGTCAGCGTGGCCAATAATCAGCGGTTTGGGAAGTTGCAGCTCAGCAACGCCTTCCCACAGCGATGCTCTAGTCATGCCTGACTGTCTTAATTAAGAGATATTCCTGTTCTTCCCCAGAGGATGGGGACACAACTCAGGTCACCCCAGTTCTCTTTCCAAGCATCGCAGGATATCCTATTCAAGGGACAGTTGGGAACAGATCATCTCATTGTTCCCAATCTCAGCCTTTCCCTGGATTAGTTCCCAGGGCGAATCCGTAGGGTTTCTTAGGGCTGTGTGTCATAGGCACAGAAAAAAAAAAATGATGATGATTAAATTCTTTTGTTTGGATAGCATGGCTAATATTCCAACAAGCACATTCAGCCTCTTGGTTTTTGTGAGGACCAGCAACAGTGAACAATACTGTCCAAGGAACACGCGTGCCAGCAAGTTTCTCTGAACGTAAAAATAAAGTTAAAACAAAAAGCAAAAACAGGCCATCACCAACTCAAGATATACTTTTTTTTTTTTTTATCTCTAAATGAATTAGAAACCAGCTCAGCACAAACTCTCCAGGTATAAATACTGGTGGCTCAGTCAGAGAAATAAAATAATATAATAAAATAAAAAGGTAAAATCCTAAAGTCAGAAGGCGCTACATCCGAGGGACCAGTGAGAAGGCCAAGTGCTGTGGGACAGAGCAAGATGGGGCTGTGATGGGAGGGGCAGGGTGGGGTGGGATGGGATGGGGGGCAGCCCTGTGAGCAGTTTCCAGGGCGAGCAACGGAGGCGCGTCAAGGGTCCTCTCCTCCTCCTCCTCCTCCTCCCCTCCCGCCTCAGTCAACACTGCGTCCTGCTGCTGGGCAGCGGGTGGAGGGCAGGCGCAGGTGAGAAACCGCAAAGGCAGGAAGAGGTGAAAGGGCAGCAACTGGAAGGGTCACTCTGCCTCACTCGGTGGCTAGTGCAAATAGTCGTCCACTCTGGCGAAGGAGCAGGAGCCCAGGCCCACGCGAGCCATGAGTCGCAAGCACTCCGAGGCCTGGCCCAGGGCGAGCAGCAGCGGGGGCTGCTTTGGCAGGTTCTGAGACTCTGAGGAGAGAAAGAGACCAGAGATGAGGAAGGAACACGTCATCCAAACAGGCTACGTCTATACTGAAAGCATTTGCCCCAAAGACAAATTCCTTGGGTGTCCAATCACACTTCGCCAATAAAGAATTCAATTCTAATTCTAATTCTATTTCTAATTCTATTCTAGCCGTTCTTGCAACGTGGCTGGCAGAAGGATGGTCACATTTCCAAAATAGCCCAAACAGAACGGCCATTTATTTACTAGCCGGCAAGTTAGGAACATTGTAGTATGACATCACGGCTGTTACGATTCCAAGGGTGCTCTCTAGCAGCCGACTCACTTTCACCTAAGGCAGGGGGGGTCAAATTTGCAGCTTGAGGGGTGCTTACGCTGCCCACGTCCACCCCCGGTTTAGCGAAGGGGGGGAAAGTTGCGATACATCACGTGATGACAATGTGTCATGCGAATTTGACACCCCTGGTCTACAGGAGATGATACACTTCTGAAGAAAATGTGGGGATGCAGTCACTTCTATTTTCTAAAAAAAAAATCTGGCCCTGATGGGCACTCAGAGACATTTTTCTCAATCAAGTGAATATTACAACTTCTACCAGCTTGCCAGTTATTGCTACAAAATACATGGTTGTTTTTTTAAAAAAAATTGTGATGCTTAAATGTGATGCTTTAAATTTTAATTGTGACGCTTCTGACACAAATAAACAATAAGCAACTCTAATTCTCCCCTCCCTCCTTCCCTTTCCTTCCCCCCCCCCTCTTTTTTCTTCTCTTTCTTCTATACACGCACTGAGGCTCCCTCTCTGGCGCAGGTAATTTCCCCAAACCTGCAAAAATGCAGCAAAATCCCTCCCACATTATTCTCGGTGCAGCAAGAGGGGTACAAAGCGGAGTTACAATGGGCTCCCGGCATCTCCTTACCCAAAATAGCGCTATTGAGTGCAGCACACACAGGTTCCCTCTGGATTGGGTCCAGCTGCTGACCGACTGGGCAGTTCCATGGGTCAGAGTAGGCTAACAAGCTAAATGCATCCTGAAAGAGTAACAAGAGATCTCAGCAGAGCAGCAAAAACTGCTCGGTCTCAGTGGCTGTATAGCTCCCAGGATTTCAAGGTTGCTTTGACACAGTGACCTATTTTATCTTGAAGGCATGAGGCTGTCTAGGAATACAGCAGAGAACCAGAAAGAGCTGGTAAGGGCATGCCGAGAGCTGAATTCGTAAACTGGCCAGGCACCGTGTTCATTTTTTTTCAAGCCCAGTTGAGTATTGTTTTAAACATTAATTATACTTTTGGGGGAGGTTGTATTTAAATTGGGGAGGGGGATAATTTCTGATCACTGTAGCTTAAATAAGCTGCAATTTTCCCCTCTTCCATAGTATGGAATAATACTAATGCAATAGCTCCCTCTACTGACCAGTGAAAAGTATTTATTTTTCACAGGTGGAAAATCATACAGAAGGGGGGATGTGTGTGTGTGGTCATTTTGGGGGTGCGTGTGTGTCCAAGGCCAATTCTATTTTATCAGTGGGGAGAGGTTTAAATGATTTTCCCAAGGGCAATGAATGGTTTCCTAAACTCTGAATCGCTTGGGACAATTTTAGTCTCCCTGGAAATTCTTGCTGAAATCTAACAGGCCAATAAAAGAAAATAAAGGATTAACACGGATGATGTTACTTAGTTGGATAATGAAATGTCTGCAAGAAAACAAACTCAGAGAGCGCCGGGAACTCCACCATGTTTTTCACTGTCCTCCTGGTTTCATCTTTTTAAACAAATCATGCCAAAAAAACCTTAACCTTGCTTTACAGAGAAATAAAAGAGAGGACGGATTTTGCGTGAAAAAGGGAAAAATCCAGCCAAGCTGTGAATACCTGCAACATTTTTTTGTGGGTTGTGTTCTTGCCGTAGTCTCTGCATAGCTGCTCACTGAGGCTCTGGAGCTCCCGCCCGAACTGGATCATCCGCTCGGTGGCAGCGTGGTTCCCTCCGCAGAGTTGCCTCTGAGGGCAGCCGTCTTCTGCAGAGGAGGGGGAAACCGGACGAAGAGATCAGGAACCTGCATGGCATTAAAGCCTCTGCCTCTTCAGACCCACTGAAGCCCCCACCCCCACCAAATTATTAGCAGAGGTGGGTATTCAACAGGTTCTGACCAGTTCTGGAGAACCGGTAGCGGAAATTTTGAGTAGTTTGGAGAACCGTCAAATCCCACCTCTGACTGGCCCCGCCCCCATCTAGTCTCCGCCTCCCGAGCTGATTGGCTGTGTCTTCCTTGGTTGCCCTGTGCAGGAGAACTGAGCTGGAAAGCAGGTTAGTGGGGAGGAGGGGGATTTTTCAGTATCCTTCCCCTACCACGCCCACAGAACTGATATTAAAAAGTTTGAATCCCACCTTTAATTATTAGCCATATAAGTCACTGGGTACAGAAGTCTTCTAAAGAGGCCCTGCCTGGAAGAACATTTAACCTTCCTAAAATCTTTTAAAAGGTTAACTTTTAAGCCTTTTTTCTCAGCATTCCAGGACTTACTTCAAATCCACGAACACCACATGCTTAAAATTTTAGAAGTTAAATTCTATGCTGGATCGTATATGGTAAGCAAGCGTTGGGTCCACCCATTGTGCTAAACCAGGATGGATTCTATCCATTGTTGAATAAAGTAGAATACGAGTAATTGTTGATTCACAACCATTCTTTTATCGATGGTTTGAAGTTACAACAGTACAGGAAAAAGTGACTTACAACCAATCCTTGCATTTATGACTGCTGTAGCATGTCCATGGTCATGTGATAAAAAAATTGTTTTGCAATCAGAATATATTTACAACAGCTTCATCCATCACCTTTTGCGACCTTCCCAGATGCCTTCCAACAAGCAAAGCCAATGGGGAAACAGATTCATTGAGCAACTGCGTGATTTCCTTAATTACAGTGATTTGCTTAATAACCAGGGCAAAAAGGTTGCAAAATGACTCATTCAACAACCACCTGGCTTAGCAACAGAAATTTTGGATTCAACTGTGGTTGTAAGTCGAGGACTACCTGAATACGAATGGAAGGACTGGAAAAAGCTTCTGATGTAGAGTAATTTTCTGTAAGGAACCTCATCCACCCTGGATAAGGAACCGTTTTCTCAAAAAAAAGGGGCTTTTCTCCTACCTCCGCGCCCGCCAGACCTACCCATGCTGGAATCATCGGTCTGTAGAATCTCTTCGTGCTTGTAAGTGCCATTCATTATTCGGGTGGCTGAATTCTCCAGGATTCCATTGGGATAGTGCTCTGCCTCCATCTCCATTTCACTGTCACTTGAATGAAGAGGGTGGAAGTCATGAGAGAGTCCAAAAGAAAGGAAGGCCAAAAGAGGAAAAGGCATATCCTCAACATCAGCGGGAGATACAGACAGATTCAATTTAGAATATATATATATCAAGGGGTCCAGCTTGGGCAAACTTCAAGACCTGTGGGCTTCATGGCCCAGAATCCCCCAGCAATTATGGCTGGCTGGGAAACTCTGGGATTTGAAATCCAAGTCTTAAAGTGGCCAAGGTTGGCCATCTCCCAAAGGATCCGACGCCAGCCTCAAATAGCATTTGAACATCATTCAAATTAAGCAAGTTAATCTTGCCTGATCATAAGCACTCTTAACAATCTCATTGGGCAGTCTTTTTTTTTTGTTTTTTGGCGCCCATGTTGTTATACAAGCATTGTGAAATCTATCCAGGAGCTGAAAATTCATCCATTCCCAATACAGGAATGAAAAGAAAAAAAAAGTATATCTCTTTCGAGTTGATTTCGACGCTCGAGGATTTTCTGGATGCCTCCATAGAATTTCCTTGAATGCAGCATATGGAAGAGGTTTGACCCTGTCTTTGGTGGCATTGTTTTGGTTTTCCCATGTAGTCTACAGTCTTGAGATTAACTGAGGATTAATCAAACAAACGTTAACTGGGCCTGGTCTACTCGGCCTCAGAGATCAACCAAGTTGAGCAAGGTGCTGCTGCCGCCATCCACATGCTGGAGCTGTTTACATCGCCGTATGATTTATACAGAAAGTGAATTCAACTAGACAACTATGGAAAGAGCTGCCACTGTCTTTATACGGGTACCGCCTGACTTACACCCGTTATTTAGGGACCGCTTGAAGTTATCACAGCACGGGGGAAAAAAGTGACTAGTGGCCGCTTTTCACACTTAACGATTGTGATCAAAGGTCATTAAAATTTGGATACTTGCCAACTGTCTCATGTTTATGACAGTTGCAGCGTCCCGGGGTGATGTGATCATCTTTTGCGAACCTCCTGAACAAGCAAAGTCAATGGGGAAGCCAGATTCACTTAGGAACCCTATTATTCACTTAACAATTGTGGCAAGAAAGGTCGTTAAATGGAACAAAACCCATTGACAACTGTCTTGCTTAGCAATGTAGAAATGTTGGGACTCAACCGTGGTCGTAAGTCAAGGACTACCTGCACTCGATTATTACCTGGCCCTGTCCTAGAAAGGCACCTGTCTCACCTGGTTTCTTGGTTGCTAGTGCTGCTATGTTGCTGGGATTTGGTAGAATCTGTTGAGTTGGACTCTGAGTAGTTCACAGATGAAGGGGAGGAGGAGGAAGAGGAGGAGGAGGAGGAACTCAGTGCAGGATATTTACTGTGGCTCTGTTTGCTTTTGAGGGAGGTCACCCCATTGCTGCAGCTTGGGCTGTCTGCTCCTGAAGACAGAAAGAGAAGTCAAGTTGGGAAAGCCAGCGCTTTTTTAATGACTAAAAGTTTAAGCCCCACTAAAGGTAACGATTTCTCCTGTCCAATCGGGCCCAACTCTATGGGGCGGCGTTCATCTCCATTTCCTAGCTGAGAGAGCCAGCATTGTCCAAAGACACTTCCGTGGTCAAATGGGCTAGAAGGACTATATGCCAAGGCACACACGGAACTTGGTTACTTTCCCACTGGAGTGGTAACTGTTTATCTACTCGCATTTGCATGCCTTCAAATCGCTAGGTTGGCAGGAGCTGGGGCGAGTAATAATCTACTTTGGAGAAGCAATCTAAAATCAGGAGAGAGATAACCGAGTTTGACAAGTCACTGCCAAAACCTTACTCGGCCTTAGCTCTTGTCTGAAGAGCTCATTGTGCCAGAATCGTACTTCGTATGGGTATCAGTGGGTTCTTCACTACTGAAGGCACTGGGCATAATTTTGAGAAGAAATTCTAACAGCAGCTTCCAGAAAGATAATGAAAAGTAGGTGCCAAGTTAGCACCAAGCCAAGGGGAGGACGTCTCTAGGAGACAAGCGAACGCCTACCAGTGATGTGGATGTGCAAATTATTGGAGCCATGTCGGGGACTCAGATTGGGGGAATCAGGATAGCTGTCTTGTGATTTGGGGCTGCGGGTACTGAAAAAGCGCACTTCGCTGTCTGTTCCATTCACCATCTCCACAAACTGCCGGCACCTAGGGATGCACAGGGGTGGGAAAGCAGGTGAGTGGGAAACTATACAGAAAAAAATAAAAATAAATGCAATAGTTCAGTAATAGTTCAACATTAGCTACACCTTGGGCCTGGCATGCAGAGAAGCACGCAGAGAAAAGAGCATTCTTGGTTCGACCTTCTTACAGCAAATGGCTCGCAGCTCCAAAGAATTGGAAGGAAAATACACAATGCATCCATCAAAGTGGTGCAGAAGCTACATGCCTAACAACCTCTAGATTATTAGACTGTGAATCTGAGGGCCTCCCTTTTAAACTTCCTGCAGCATTTAGGAAAACATTCTGTAAGTGAAACCACTGACGCGGGCTTACAAGTCTTGGCTTGTCTGGTTTTAAAAAATGAGAAGTTATTCTGAGCTGTCTGAGAAAGTATCCCAATTCACTTTCCCTAAAAAGGGATTCCTCTTAAGCTGCCTTCCATTTGGAAAGATAACAAGGGTTGCTATTTACAGCAGTACTCTGAGGGCAAGCTTCAATTATTTGGGTCAGGTCAAACCATATTTCTTAGAAGATTTATCCCCTCCAGTTTTTCCTCCGACAGGGCACCCATCATTCAAAGACAATCTTATTGATTTATTATGTATATCCTGCCTTTATTATATTTACAAATAACTCAAGGCAATGGACATATCTAACACACCTTTCTTCTATTTTCCCTAAAAATACTCGGTGAGGTGGGTTGGGCTGAGAGAGACACACATGGCTAAAAAGGGACTTAAACTCACGGTCTCCCGCTTTCTAGTCTGGTGCCTTAACTACTAGCCTAGGGATGACCAGTCTTGGCAACTTTTAAGACTTGTGAACTCCCAGAATTCCCCATGCTGGCTGAGAATATTAGGAGTACAAGTCTTAAAGGTTGCCAAGATTGGATGCCCCTGTACTAAATCAAACTGGTTCTTAGAATCCATTTGGTACCCCCAGTCCTTTGTTCATAGAGTAAAAGGAGATTATAAATCCGTCTACTGCTTTGTCACAATTTTTGCTCTCTGACTTTCTAAACACCATAATTCTTTGCACAAAAAAAGGCAGTTACACCGTACTCACTTTAACATGAAGAAGAGGTTAGGATTGTGCTCTAGAAGCCCTGGATAGAGCTGCTGTGTTGCTTCAATGGCTTCACCTACTCTTCCTGCCAAAACCAGCTTCTGTATTCCTGGAGGTGAGAGCAGAACTATGAGGATGCAGGCTGTTGGGTATCACCTGACATTAGACAGGCAATAAAACAGGGTTTACCAATACATAGATTATTCAGATGCAATGAATACAAAAGAAAAATGTGTTTCAGCCGCATTAAAAAAAAATTAAGAACAAAATTAATTGTGACAATTTCTCATATCCTCGAGGCATTATTAATCTTTGGACACCTGTAGTACATCCAACAATTCCTGGCAGATTGTTTTTCTGCAAGAACCCCACTCATGGCTGCCCTTCCACATGGAAGTCCGCCAATTAGCACTCATCTCTTTTTTCTGATTAATTTTCAATATGTTTTCCATTATCAAATTAATTTTTCTATTAGAAACAGTAAGTGAGGAATCAATCAGGGTAGTCTTCAGTTCTTTCCATCGTGGAAAATAGAATGAACTGCTGGCTTCGTATCAATGAAAACTGCAGGTAAGGAGTTTTAAAGCATTAGAGTGGTATTTCTTAATAAGGTGCTGGAGCATCAGGCAATGATCCAACCTTTCACCGAAGTCTGCCGGGGTTTCCAGTTAACAGATGGTCTTGCAACAACCAGTCCCTTAAATTTGCTTGGAGATGTTGGCATATAGCTTGTATTAAGCAAATACAACAGCTTATTAACTGCCATATCCCATTTTGCAATAGTGTTTATTTGGAAACGCTCCACTTTAATGGTTCCACAATTATTGATGTTGGGTCAAAGGTTCCACACACACACACCCAATTCTTTTTGCTTTTAACTACATTTTACCCATCCATCTAGTAACATGTCTTCAGAAGCAAGAAAATAGCTCCATGCGCTTATATTTTAAGTATTTCAAATGCATTTGGGAACATAAGCAAGAATCCCCAACTCCAAAAATCATATCCTTTTCCAGCAAATCACTTGGAAGCTACTTTGACAAACTTGGAAATCCACCATTTGTTGTCAATAAGTTATTAATTTTAAATGAACAACCAGGATCTCAGTCAACACCCCACAAGAGGCAGGACTTGAGACAAAAAAGGCAGAAATTCAACTGGTGAAGGAAACAAAAAGGGTAACATGAAAGAAAAATCAGCTTTCAAAAATGATTTAGTCAGTTTCCAGAACAATCAAAACCGTTTGGTTTCGTTTGACAAATTGAAGGAAAAAAAAGATGAGACACAGAAAAACAGAAAATGCCAGCCATAAAAAAGAACTAGAAGGAACAATGGAGGATACTAAAGTTCTGCCGATTAATGCTAGGCTACACAACTTAATTACAGGTATATCGGTGTAACGATGCAGCCAGGGAGAGCTGCACATTTCAGGATGTAGGGAAAGCTACAGCAGTGATGCAAAAAAGCTTACTTTGTCTGTTCTTTATGGAGATCTGTTCCTCCTGGACTGTACTTTCTGTCACACGGGCAAAGGCAGTGGCTGTAGTACAATATCCATGATGTACCAGATAGGAAGAGACCATGCTAGGAAATATAAAAAGCAGGCAACAGAAAGAACATCAGTGTCGGTACAAATTCCACAAAAAGTGGGGCACAAAGGGGGGAGGGGAAACATCTCTAGGATAGCCACATTAACATGGGCTTTGTTGTGCACGCACTGTTATTGTGGTTGGCTTTTGCTTCCCAGTATCGAAATATGCCAAGAAAAGGTTCCTTGGAAGGGTATAGAAGACACTACCCATCCGACCTTCATTAAAATCAAGAGGATATGTATTAAATGTGATGAATCTGATTTAACCTCCTTGATTCTAATGCCTTTTGTGTGAATCACAAAGCAAGCAGAAGAAAGAACATTGGTATGCTCAGTCAATATCTCGCTATAGAAGTGAGCCGGAAACATTTCTAAGCCTATGTATGGGAAGCTTTTTAGAAATTTGAAATGAAATATACTGCCTAGCTTTTCAACACGCCTGCTGTTGGCTCATAAAACCCGTGTTTTCTTTATTGTAAAAAAAAAAAAAAGAAATAGAGATAAAAGTCGGCCTATTTGCTGAACTTGTCCTGCTTTCATCTAGATATTCTACTAGGACTAGTAGAAACAACCAGCTCCGCATGTCTTTTGTTCAGGGCATAAATATGGATGAGGTCTGATTTTCCTTCATTTCTTTTGTGATTTGGCTGTATAAAAGAGCATAGCTTTTGGCAAAGCTCCACCTTCCCTTCAGCTCTCATTTCTCAACCTAACGGAAGAAACAGTGATCAAACCAGGCAAAAAAGCAAGCAGCGTATCTGCGCTACCCATCGGCTACAGACAAGGTGCAAGGAAAGCAGCCAGCAGCCCTGTTTGTCGTAAGGTAAGGACCCCCTCTGCTCTTCTCAGGGACACAGAAAACCGATAAGGTAAGAATGGTGAGTGAGGGGTGTCATTTTACAGCAGAACATTCTCGTGAATTTTAACGTCAAGGCAACCCAAGCAGCCACTCACTTCTGTAGCATGGCTTGCCATTCCCCTAGCTGGTCACCTATGGGAAACCTTTTAATCGTGCCCTGAATCTTTGCTCGCCACTCTCTCATATAGTCTTCAATGTCGAACACAAATGGCTGTTGCCCAAAGTTGGCATCCACAATCTCTCCGGGTGTCTGGAGCCCCACAGTGGGATATAGATTGGCCTGCCAAAAAAACGAAGCCCAAGTTAAAAAACCCGGGCTCTTTAAGGAAAGAAAGCAGAGACATACATTTCCCCCCGCCTCCTTGGGAAGAGGGTCGGTCGTCAGGGAACCCTGAACGATGGGCTTCCGGGCCGGATGGGACACATGGGCACTTTGCAGAAAATGGCTTTCCCTGAAAACCATTTTGGGAAGAGTCAGCGTCATACAGGTAAGTCCTTGCAACTTGCAACCATCCGTTTAGTGACTGTCCAAAAGTTGCAACGGCACTAAAAAAAAAAAAGGGGGGGGGGAGGTGACACGACCATCTCAAACCTACGATTGTTGCAGCATCCCCGTGGGTCGCCTGATCAAAATTCGAGCACTTGGCAACTTGGCGTGTATATTTATGACGGCTGTGGTATCTTGGGATCATGTGATCCCCTTGCGTGACCTTCTGGCGATGGGGAAACCAGATTCGCTTAACAGCCATGTTACTAACAACTGACTGCAGTGATTCACTTAGCAGCTGTGGCAACAAAGGTCATAAAATGGGAGCAAAAAAAAAATCACTTTAAGTCTCTTGCTATGCAACGGAAATCTGGCGCTCAATTGTGGTCGTATGTCGAGGACTAACTGTACAAGAAACACTTCTCAAAATCAAAAGAAACTGTTTGCAGCTTAGGGTCTTTGGAGTTGGAAGAAAAAAAAAAGTATATCTAGATTAGCAGATAAGATTACAGACCTATGAAGGGAATTGTCCAAAACGCAAACAATGAAAATGTAGCAGGTTGTCGCTACAGTGTATGCTTCATTCAACATAAATCCTATATATACAGTATTTTAACTGTTTGCCAAAGAAGACATTAATGTGCTGTATTTTCACATGACATTTTGAACAGTTCAGTTAATTTGGGGAACGGGACAAGCATGGCACAAGGGGTATCTTTCAAGGCGCCATATTTGGAAACTGCTTAGAAAGGCACATTGAGAAAGACAACTGGAACGAAACTGAAATAAGTATGGCTTTCTCATCCAGTCAAAATTCAGACTTCTATTTTGAGCTGCAAAACAATCTGTGGCAGGGTAGCTGAGTCAATGGCGCTGGCCTCTGTTCTGTTTATTTGTGAAGTGTTTATGTTTTTATTCTATCCAATTTCGGGGACTTTTTCAGCATCTAAAGACATGTTGTATCAAATCTGGAGGTCTGTTGATGTACAAAAGAGAGCAATGTATCACACTCCAACAATATACACGGTTGCTTTCTTTTTGTCACAGGCCTGGGCAATAAATAAAAATATGCCATTCATCTGTAATTTTTAAAGATTAAAACCTTTTATGCCTATACTGTGGAGTTAACTGAATCTCAACTAATATCTATCCTCTACTGGCATTCAATAGCAAAATGACCAAGAATAAGCAGCTTTCAAAAAAAAAAACATCTTCATAAATCCTCTCAAAAATTAAATCTCAGTTGGAACACATGATCTCGCTGCCCGTGGTAAAACCATTTGGTAAAACTTTTAAAGCTGCTGAATGAAAAGCATCCCAGCTTTGATTTATGATGGACTCTGAAGTCGGCCGATTCATTTCCACCCCAACAAGCGCTATTTAAGCAACTCCCTGCACTCCAGATGTGTTTTGTTCAGAATCTAGGAGTTTCCTTTTCGGTTACTGATTGCATTCTGCTTTAACGATTCACCGAGGTGTAGGTTATTTTTAGTATACTCGAAGCAGTGAAAGCAGCAGCAGCAGCAAAGGCTTATTTTCATTTCAGGCTAAGATCCCAGGTTGCTTATTTTAGAGCATCCTTGCCAAAATCGCTTCTCTTAAAAAAAAAATATATTTTTTTTTCCAATGTGTGGAAAAGCTTTTGCTCACAAATTTGCCCCCGCCCCCACCCCTCTTTTGAAGCCAAAGTTTGTGGGGGGGACTAATTTCTCTACGAAACCTGCCCTCCTTATTGCCATGGGAGCTTCATCCACGGTACTAGGCGAATGCTAACCACTTCCAGATGGGACAAAAGGAGAAGGCGAGTCCCAAGCTTCCCCCTCCCCGACCCTTCCCACCGCCACGCTTTCAATCTTTTGTTGAAATATAAAAACAAAAGTTGTACTTACAGGAAGATCTGTGAAGGCTATACCTGTGAAAGAGAAAATATTAAAGTCAAGGCAAAGGATTTTCCCTCGGTACCCTAAAGCCTAAATTTGTCGTTACACATAATATAGCAACAAATATGGTGAGCAAATAATTAAACTGGCGTGCAATAAAAGACGTCTCTAATCCATGTTCAGATTTGCGTAAGGTAGTCCTTGACTTACGACCGCAATCTAGCCCCACGTTTATGTTAAGTGAGAAATTCATTAAGTGAGTTTTGTCCCATTTTATTACTTTTCTTGTCACATTTGTTAAGTGAATCACTGTAGTTGTTACATTAGTAACATGGTCGTTAAGTGAAACTGGCTTCCCCATTGACTTAGCTTGCCAGAAGCTCGTAAGTATATAAGTATGAGTCAGTTGCCAAGCATCTGGATTTTAATCATGTGATCATTGGGAAGCTGCAACAGTCAAAAGTGTGAAAAATGGTCACAAGTTGCTTTTTTCAGTGCTGTTGTACCTTTGAACAATCACTAAATGAATTATTGTAAGTCAAGGACTACCTGTATGCTTATTGTGAAATCTTTGCCCAGTAAACATATCCATGCTCAGCTAGGAACTGATCAGAGTAAATAGGAACAAATTTCTACTTCTTACTCCCATCTTCTGTAAAGCAGTTATTGTAAACTGGCCAGTCACTTAAGTGAGATGGGAGGTGTAGAAATCTGATAAATAAAACTGCAAAACTTTTTAATGGACACAGACCTACGCTAATTCTCAATATGTTTAGCTCTTCTGAAAATGAGGCTGAGGATCTGAGCTAGATTTTTTTCAGTGTGGGTTTTTTGGGGGAGGGGTGTGCAGGAATAAAATTCAGGCGAAGAAAGGGGGGGGGAAGTAATTTAAATCATATTAATTCATGCTTCAGAAGTAGCCTTTTTCAGAGCAATTACTCTTGGTTTTTTTGTTTTAGTCTGCTGCTTTAAAATAATTTTACGGGAGTTAATCAAGCAACTCACTGCTAGGAGAAGGAACAAAGCAGCACACAACGGAAGTATCCCTGCTGATCCTACAACTGAGTAAATGCACCAAGTGAGTCAAAGGAAAAAGAAGAGGCATTTATACGGATGACTGAATGTGTCCAGGTTGTCATTTTTCCAGGAAGTCCCACTCTGGTATATCTCTGCTAACAGAAGGAAGCATAAAGGTGCTGCATGTTGATCTGAACTTTAATCTTAATTTGAAGCAAGGAATGGAAACGCCTGGAGTAATTCCTTCTTCTGCTGCTACTTCAATACCTTCAGACATTATGGGGGGAGGAGAATTTAAAGCTAATTCCCCAATCAGCAGCAGAAATTAGTGTCTCAACTTTAGTGTCTCAACCTTTGTCCTCTTAAATTATCTTGCACGGACAGGCTAGGTCTTTGCCTCACCTATTGGGAGGAAACCAAAAAACATGGAGATCTATGCATTCTCGTTTCATGTAACCAAGGGGGTGGGGGGGAAGAAAAAGGAAAAAAAAAGGGGGGGATTCTGCCTGTTTGTAACTTCAATGGTGTAAAGTCAGAATCAAAGGAGAGAGTGTGTCAAACATAACCTGGTGCAAAGGAAGCAAATATTTCTGGGCACAAAGATAACACTCCACCCTTTCCCAGTTGGAGATGTTTATTTTTAAAACGTGGCTGCATTCACTACTCCCTGCTGCAAGGAAAGTGAGCTACCTGCAAGACTATTGGTGCACAGAGCATTTAAACTTCTTATCTGTGGCTTTCTTATCTTGCTCGCTGGTCACTACGATGACATTGATATTGCAAACAGCAGAAGGGGAACTGGATTTTTCTCGTCCAGTACTTGGTAAAATGCTATGAATATGGACTATGCTTTTATTTATAGGCAGTCCTCGACTTCCAAGAATTCATTAGGGACCGTTCAAAGTTACAACAGCACTGGAAAAAGTGACTTACAACCGTTTTTCACACCTACAGCCATCGCAGCATCTCCGAGGTCACAGGGTCGAAATTCAGATGCTTGACTGACATTTATGACTGTCCCAGAGTCACGTGACCTCTTTTTCGAAGTCAATGAGGAAGCCAGATTCACTTAACTAACAACTAAGAATCGCTAACTTAACAGCTGCAGTGGCTCATTTAACAACTGTAGCAAGGAAGGTTGTAAAATGGACTAAAGTTCACTTATCAACTGTCTCACTTAGTAAGAGAAATTTTCAATTGTGGTTTTAAGTTGAGGACTACCTGTATTAAATTTATAGGCTGCCCAGAATGACTTTAGTCCGTCTGCACCGGCACAAGAATATATGAATGAGGTTCAGATTATTGGGAAAGACAGTTCATTCTATGCCTCCTTTCCTGCTGCAAACGGTTTTCTGAAAGCTTAACACTAAGTGGGATTTACACTACCATAGAGGTTTTCTCTCATTGGTGACACAGTTGTTCCACAGGCAAGATAACTCTATCACCACAATAGCAGCAACCGCTTCCACTTTTAGCCAAGCACATCCATTTTAACACAGATAGGAAAGGATGACCAGAAACATACAGAGAGGACTGGGATATTTAAAAAAAAAAGAATTGCAATGCGGTTGCTAATGGAAATAATTCAGATGCTACAAAAGGATGGTATTATCCCCTAAATAATAGCAGATCCTTTTACAAATAGGCATTGACTTCTGGATTGGCTTTTTTCACACTTTCTCAGTGTAAAAGGACTGCCATTCCCAGACCTCCTTGGGCCAGGCCGGCTGGAACTTCTGAGAATTCCTACCGGAGAATGCCAGGTTGATGAAGACCGTTCTGTACATTTTTTCCTCTCTTTTCTTTGCCCAGAGAGAAAAATCCAGTTATCGCTAAAGCAATTCTGAAGAGCAAAGCTGAAACATCCACATAATGCATGAAGTCAGAGGGCTGAAACATCAGACTATAGATTCCTACATTTAAAACAACAACAGCCAGCCAGATACTCCTGAGAAGCCCACCAGTTTATCATGAAAATAAGAGTTGTGTCCCAACTGTGTTTCTCAACAAGTGGTTATTGAGGGTACTCTGCCGTTTGAACAGGGACTTTGCTATAATTTTTCAGAGCTGCTTATTATACATTTGTATAGCTGCCTTTCAAAGCAATTTAAATCAAGAGTTTTCCCCACATCTTGCTGCAGGGAATCCCATAAATGTATCCAGTACTCTGGTAAGTAGCACTTTCACTTACCTATCCCCAATTTAGAATAAGCAATTCTAAAGAAATAATAAAATAAAAACAGCAGACGGTTTTCCCTTGCTTTGTGCTAGAGTTATATCCCCCAAAAGCTTGCATAAAGCAAAACACTGAATAGTGGATAAAGGGGAGTTGCAAGGAATGGCTGTCAAATTTTATAACTCAAATGCTTTGACAAATGTACTCATAAATTTTCGAGCCTCAGTTTTAAGTACTACATTCCTCAAAGAGGTTTCTTTATCTCATGTTCTATGAAAGCATTTCTTCTATCTTTTCTACGGCTGTATTTCTAATGCACAGAGCAGACAAAACCAGAATGCATCACAGCACTATTAATATTATTGGCTTTGATTCTCCCAGGTTAAAATAATATCCTAGGAGGAAAGGTCTTTACTGTATATTCAACTTGTTTCCAGGGTTAGAGGGAACCTCTTCTGTTGGGGAAAGGGGATGGGATAAGATATTGATGGTTATTTTAACTCCACATGAATGGGAGTAGATACTGCACATATAGAGGTAAGTGGGAGATGGGCCACACAACTGAAAAAACAATATAATGTGATGGTAGATGCATGAGAAAGGAGTTCTCATGCTCTTCTCAAGGCTATGTTTTAGGCGCAGTTCTCTTCAACATCTTCATCAATGATTTGGATGAGGGGATATAGGGGGAACTCATCAAATCTGCAGATGACATCAAACTGGCAGGAATAGCCAACGCTCCAGAAGACAGGCTTAAAATACAGGAGGATCTTGACAGACTTGAACCTTGGGTGCTATCTAAAAAAATGAAATTCAATGGTGAAACAAGTAAGAAAAACCAATGCAATATAGGTGATACCTGGCTCAACGGTAATAACTGTGAGAGGGATCTTGGAATCCTAGTGGATAACCACTTAAATATGAGCCAGGACAGGGTGTTGCAGCTACCAAAAAAGCCAACAGAGTTCTAGGCTGCATGATCAGAGGGATAGAATCAAGATCACATGTAATGTTAATAGCACATTATAATGCCTTGGGAAGGCCACGTTTGGAATACTGCATCCAGTTTTGGTCACCATGGTGTAAAAAGATGTTGAGACTCTAGGAATAGTACGGAGTAGAGCAACAAAGATGATTAGGGGACTGGAGGCTAAAACATATAAAGAAGGGATCCTGGAATTGGGTATGTCTAGTTCAATGAAAAGAAGGACTAGGGGAGACATGATAGCAGTGTTCCAGTATCTCAGGGGCTGCCACAAAGAAGAGGGAGTCAAGCTATTCTCCAAAGCACCTGAGGGCAGGACAAGAAGCAATTGGTGGAAAGGAGAGAAGCAACCTAGAGCTGAGGAGAAATTTCCTGAAAGTTAGAACAATTAATCAGTGGAACAACTTGCCACCAGTAGTTGTGAATGCTCCAACCCTGGAAGTTTTTAAGAAGAGATTGGACCACCATTCGTCTGAAATAGTAACAGGTTTCCTGTCTGAGCAAGGGGTAGGACTGGCAGACCTCCAAGGTCCCTTCCAACTCTGTTATTATGTTCATTCTGTTCTGACTACATGATCAAACATGAATGGAATTGCATTTTGATAAGAGACCTTATGAATACGTTAACATTTCAAACGAGGTGAGAGAAAACTGGACCAAGTGCTCCTATTTGCTTACCTAAACTGTGCCCGTTCTTTGTGTAGAAGCAGGTGTTGTTGATGAGGTTCACGCAGCAGCCAATGACATCGCCAGTAGTGAAAGTGGGGCCATAGGGCTGCCCTGTCCCTGATGAGCAGAAGGAGTGTCCATCGTCGCCATGATAGCCGTAGGAATGCTTATCCCAACCTAAACAAAAGGAAAAAGAATAAACAAAGAGCTCATGAATAGAAAGTGGCCTGCTTGACCTCGGGAAGGAAGAGATTCAAAGGTGACATCACTAGGAAATGTCTAGCATTAATGCAGGAGGATTCTAGTATGTGCAAAACATTCTTCATGGAACGTTCTGACCCCCCCCAAGGTTGGACCGTGGCCCTTTTCAAGGTTGAACCGCTCCCAGAGGGATTAGAAATGCTGTTTAGGAGTCAGAATGTTCTGTGAAGATATTTAGAAGGTAATTGGGGGTGGGGGGAGGTGATTGTGATAAATAAGCTGTCCTATTCCAAACACAGAGAAGCCAGAAAATGGAGAACTGTTTAATCATGGCAAAAATAAGACTTCAGCAACTAAAACTATGGATTGTTTTTTTTAAAAAAAAAAACTGTTCCAGGTAGTTACAACAGTTCGTTTAGTGACCGTTCAAAATTACAGCAGCACTTTAAAAAGTGTTTTTCATACTTACAACCATTGCAACATCTCCATAGTCCAGGGATCAAAATTCAGATGCTTGACAACTGATTCCTATTTATGAAAGTTGCAGTGTCCGAGGGTCATATGATCGGGGCGGGGTGTGTGTGTTGTGATGTCTAACTTAGCAGCAGAAATTTTGGCCTCAATAGGGGTCGTAAGTCAAGGATTATATGTATTTCTAGAAACTGCAATATAACCCTCACACCTTCCTCTACAAGATGGCGATATAAACCAGTAAAGAAAGTATTGTTCAGGCTGGCGTTTTTTTTTTAGTTTTTATTCCAAATAAAACTGTAGGAATCTAAATCCTACATTTCCACAAATCTCTTATGCAGCTAGGTTGCCCAAGTGACAGCATGGCTGCCTCTTCTCCATGAATTTGTCTTTTCTGACAGTTCTAATCATAAATCCAACATTAATACAGGATCTGTATTTCAAGGTCTCTGTTAAAGGGAACATGAGGCTTAGAAAGAAAGACAATCCTCTATTCCTTTCATAATCACTTAATAGTACTTAAGAAATTAAGAATCTACGTTGGCATTCATCTGCTGTATACAGGCAGTCTGAACTAATCAGGAACCCTTTGCAAGCATATAAAACAATTCAGGTAATTACATGAAAAATTTACTGTGGCTGCAAACAAACAGAAGGAAAAGACAGACAGCCCCCCCAAAAAGGGGTGTGTGTGGGACTAGGTTGATCATTGTCTGATCCCAGCAGTCTGCCATAGGCCAAACCAATTAAGTATCTACTCCTCTTTAAGAAATCCAAAATATCCTCCTCTAAAGCCTATGCAGTATTTTTGAATCTGGGCTAAAGGCCTCTTTGTTTATTCTGAAGTGTCATAGTCACAGGATCAGCTTTTGTGTGGCTTCCACAGATTTATGTTTAGTCACATACTGAAGACATTGTTTTTCTCATTCTCTTTCAACACAAACCAGTTTCCAGTCAAGGAAGTATTTGAAGCATCATATTGCACAATCCACAATCAAGTAATCATGGACTAAATATATGCTGCTGTACCACAAGCAGAATATCCCTGGCTCAGGACAAAAAGTCCTAGCCCCTTGAAGCTAAAAACTCTAGGATGTTGCCTAAGGCCAAAAGCTGGACAAATAGAAATTAAGATTCAAATGTTTAAGTCCAGATTGATTTAGCCATAGTTAAAATTTATGAAACACACAGAATGAAATCTGGCAATATGGTAGTTCTTTTCCATTTCATAAATACCTAGTTTCTGAGTAGTCCTATAGTCATGTTATGCTAGAATTGCTTATTAGCAGGAATGGGTTTTCTTCTCACTGCCGCAAAAGGAACCCCAAAGGTTAAAATATCACGGAGATCAAGCTATATTCATACACCTAGAACTGAGGGCATAAAAATATACAGTATGTGCTCTTGCTTGTGATCCGTCAGGTTGCTCCAATTGCTGTCAACACCCTTATCTGAAAGGACAGTGACACATAACTACTCCAAAGTGCTCCACCTGAAAACAGCTTGTATTTAGTTTCAGAATGAAACAGGGACGAGGTGACCTACTTGATCCTTACACACCCAAACTTATAACTAACTATATATTTAGGAATGCTTGTGCATACATCTTACTTTTAAAACAGTGATTTGGGGAATAAACATCCAGATGACAACCTAACATCAGAATCCCCAGCATTTTCCAGATTACCACTCCTTTTTGGAGCCCTCTTGAGTCATCTGCTATGGCTTCCAGTTTCACATCAAGTTTTAAACAAAACAACAACAATTGGATATAGTTTGATATATTAAATTGTAGCTAAAAACTTTAAAGGCAAATGAATGAGCCTGCTTAAGGTATTCTGCCAGGCCTATTCACAAGAGTGACTGTTGCTGTGTTACATCAACACAAGACTGCAAGGGAAGCCAATTTACTTACCCATCACCATCACCACTATGAACAGTCACTAAACAGGGACTACTGTATTACATTATTCAGACAGTCTATCACAGAACCACGAAAAGTATGAGTTTTAATCATGCCAACTTACCATGAACTTCTAAACCCCCAAATTAGATTCTTGTTTAGGCTCCATGGTCAATATACGACAGTACCATACATTTCTATAATCTTCAAAATATTTAGAACAATTCAAAGACAGTATAAAAAGGTTTATATTGCAATATAAAAACACTGCCACTCATCCTTTTTATGTATCATAGCTGTCATTCTAAGTCCACCAATTCACCAACAAAAAACATCCATAAATACTGCTGCTATTGGTGACTAACATTGTTTGCAACCCTGTAATAGCTACATGAAGCAAGATGCCATTCTGAGTTCTACCATACTTACATCAACTTTCCAACATGGTGCCCTCCAGATATGCTGGGTCAGCAACTTACACAATAGACATTATAAAAGAATATAAATTCAGGCTTAGCCACGAATCTCACAGGATATAATTAGCTAGTCACTAATAAAACTACTTCACAGGCATAACGTATAAACTCACACAAAAGGTGTGCTGGCATATTACTGAACAACACGCCTCTCTCTTAATAATGTTAGGATAAATTTTGCTCCCTACATGGGGCTGAAGTCATCATTGGTCTCTTTTGTGTAAAGCGCATTAGATCAGATCACCAACTGCTTTATTTATGTTTGGAGGATAAGGTTTCCAAATTACAGTAATATTTAATTTTGTGGGCTTCCACTCTACCTTCGGATGCAACATACATAATTTTGGATTTCACCCCCAAATAACAAAGTCCACGGTTTCCAAAGCAAGACAACACTTGGAATTTATGTCATGCAAATGATGTCAATCAGAGATGATGTAAAATAAGGCGAATAATGTAGCTCGATACAAATGATACCAACCATATAAATTCAAATTTAATGAACATTTGGCTTTAGCAGAATCTGTTAAAAACTGAACTTTTACTGTATCCTCTGACCATTTACAGATCTGAACCTCAACAAAGATCACAGGTGCCCAAAACAATAGGTGGAGTATCAGTTTCTCCCATCAGAGTTGCTGGTTGTATATCAACACCTTTTTCCCCGAATCAGCTTAAACAGGCATATAGAACAATAGCCTTATTTGTGTTTTGCAAACAGCTGCATTCATCATCTGTCCTTTCTAGTGATGTGTTGTCAGGAAGATGTTACTGGAAAAGCTGGATAGCCCAGCAATCTGAACAAAGGAACGGCCATTATCCCAGAAGCTGCAACCAAATATGTTTCTCGTAGTCAGCCTCAAAGATATTCAATTCCAGAGACAGCCTCAAAGGCCTGCATCAAGCGCTCGTCACATGTTCACAGGTCTCACCTGATGCTGTCAATTACATGGCTTCATGCAACTAAGCATGTGCAATTTTAGATTAAGAAAGAAGCTGCAATTAAGTACTAATTATTTGCTAGTATGTGAGGCAGATGCCAGGATTTAAAAGTAGAGCCACATGGTGAAATATAAGAATCCAAAATTAAGTCATGTGCATAAAAAAGTTAAACAGAACTTTTTTTTAAAGAAATATCTGAGGAGTGTTGAACTGAACTGCCGGCCTGTTTTGCGAAACCTTTTCAACCTTATTTCGGCAATGAAAGTAATAATAGTAATTTCACAACGCTTACAAATGTCAGAAGTTTTCATAATGCCAGATGCCATTCCTATTGCCAAAGATTTTCTAATGCTGGGACAAACATCCAAATATGCATCATTTCCAATGGGATGTGCGTTTCGCTGAGGAGGCATGATACATGTATTGGCTCAGCCGAGGACTAAATAAATCCCTCTACTCTGAACAGTTTCACTCCCAAATGTTGGAAATGTAAGGGAAAGGCAAAATGAGGGCTGGGCAGATGCCAAACAAGAAACTGCAAGACAGGGAAATCTCCCTGAAAACTTAGGGTAACATTACTTTACCATCTGCTTCCAATTTACAGTGATAAAGCTGCTTGTTCCATGAGACTAAAAGCTGAAGGAGCCAAGAGAAGAAGTTATTTCATTAGCTAAAAAGCCCAACAGGTTTTGGATTCTCCAAACAGCTGCTACTAGATCATCATTATTTAAACCCTTGCCCAACTTAGGCAGTTGAAGAAATGGCATCTCGGTTTGGCAATTTCCCTCTTTATTATACTTTTCCTTGTGTATGGAGATTCTCAGTCAACCAAGTGGCCTCAATGACACTCAGAAAGAGTGCTAACAACCAGATGACTGCAAGGAATATAAATCCTTCCATCCTCAACCATTCAGTCCGAACTGAAGAAGTTTTCTTGGATGAAAAATGAAATGTTTTCAAGGAAAAACAAAATCCAGTTGCCCTTTGGGGGGAAAAAGCACCATTGGGATATATATTTTTATTTTAGATTGTAAAGCAAGGGGATTATCTTTTCTTAATGATCCTTAAAATGTTTTCAAAGCTTTCTAATTAAAGAAAAGGTTAAAATTATTTGGGGAGAAAAAAGAATAGAGAGAAAAGTTTGTGTTGGCACCAAAACTTTCCATTTTAGAAAAACAGCCAATCCAATAGAACTGCCATCAATAAATAGCACAGTCGGGCAGTTCTATAAATATGAGCATCTAGTTTAATCCAAGCATCCTAATTCATTGTGGGAAATCTGGTGACCAAGAGTTGCACCCAATCCTTGAATTCACTTTTCTATAGCGCTAGAGCCTTTTTGGATTATCACGACTGAAAACTGTTAGCACTTTTTAGAGCTAAAAGGTCCTAAATATGGACTAGTTGCAGCTATCTAGTGATTGCCCAGACTTTGCAAAAATCCAGACAGCCACTAGATAGCTAAAAATAACCATTGGTCCAAGTTTTTTGTACACCAGATCTGGTAGTTTTATTTTCAAATTGTATCATGTATTTAAATAAACACAAAAAATAGCAAAAGAAAAACAAGAAATCAAATCTACATATATATGAGAGTTCCATCAATACATTTATGTGCTTTATAAAGTTTTATAATAACAGCTTCAGTAAAGAATGACGATGTTTCATTATAACCATCCGTGCATAGCCTATAACTTCAGGAAAGCTTTATCACCATTAAAAATCCTCCTATTCCCCACAATCCAATAAAAAATGGAACCTCTCAGCTGCCACATGGCCCCCGTCCACTTTGCATTATTTCCTCATCTGCTGTGGCCCAAAGAAAATTCTATAAACTAAGAACCTTAAACAAAGGGTTACCCATTCTTGCGCCATCTAAAGAGGGTATAAAATCACAAAAGATTAGCAAAAAGCTGAATATGCAGAAATAAAACCAGCACTGCTGGGGGGAGGCTGAGGCTGACCTGGGGGTAAAAGCACAGGAACAAAAGATTTGGGAGCAAATGATGGAAGTAAAGAAGAAGAAGAAAAAAAACTAGAGCTGATTGGCACAATCAGCTTCACCTATTTGGGGGATGAACATCGCAGCCACATGGGCGGCAAAGTAATGAATTTACAAATATAGGATGGGCAGATCATATCTAGCCGTAGAAACAAAGCTTTGGTTCAAGTGACTGTAGGAAAGCTGTGTTCATTCCTGGTGGCAAACAAATATAAATCAAAAGTTCTAGAGCACCTTTTCCTCCCTAACAAATGATGATTAAAGCAGAAGCTTTCATGAACTTTTTCATCAGATGCGCATAGAGTGGCTAGACCAGTTTTTCTCAAAGGAAAGGGAAGAGAGGTTGGTGATGCAGATTACACACGAGACATGACGAATGCCCTATCAATTAACAATCATAATGCGTCCAAAATCTGCTGTATTTGCCTGACTGCCTTCCACTCTTTTGATATTTAAGACCTCAAGAATGTTTCACCTGACGTTGTTGTTAAGCAATCAGTTTGAGGTATCTCCTAAAGAGTTCCTGGGAGGTTGAAAGGCTCTGATATCTTCCTGAGAAGTTTTTATGCCTTTAAATACAATTGGTTACATTAAGCAAATTATTAAACCAAGCGATGTTTGTTTTTTTTAAAAAAAAAGTCTGCCCGTGGATAACCGTTTTCCCCCCCCTTTCTGGTTTGTAGAAATCCAATAAACAGTTCAGGAGCAAACACAAATAATTCTCGGCAGTGACTCACCAGGAAGTCTGTTCATGTTGACACCTTGGGCAGAGAGTCCTATTCCCATGTACCTTCAAACAAACAAAAATCTGTTAGTTTAGCAAATGAAGAGAATTTCCAAACAAAATAACGACAAGGGCTCTTCCCTACTACTAATAGTAGAGCCCAAATGGGAGAAAGTTAAACCATTCCCTCAGTGGAGACTGTCATCTAATTCTCAAAATACATATAACAAAGATAACAACTGTGACCTGTAATCAAACCACCTTCATGCGCTCAAACTTTTCCCTTATAGAAAAGCTTATTATCTCTGATACAAAAATGTTACGCCTCACTAAAATGTAACAGAAAATATCAAAATAATTTTGATCAACAACTGTAAAATAATGCTGGAGAATTTTCAGAAACAAGATTTGGAGATAATGCAGCTTAAGCCTGTTTGTTTTTATTGTAAGCCTGCTGCTTTGCCCCAAACCAGAATTAACATTCAGGAAAAGGAAAGCAACTCTGATAAAGCAGAGTATACAGACTTCATCGTCAGCTGCATTAGCGATATTTCCTCCTTCAGTGACTAAGTAGAGTACATCATCTACTAGAGATAATTCAAAGAAGTTATCTTCTCTTGGCAGGAACAGTTCCTCTTTACAACTGCTTTACAAGGGTTAGAGCATTTTTAATGTTTACAAATTGTAAAAGCCTTTTATGTAACTGAACATGATGGAAATAAATTCGATTGGAATTTTTCTTGACATTATTAAGGTTGTAAGTTTCTGCTCCCAAAGAATCAGAAAGTTTGCATGCTGGCACACAGAAGGTAAACTCATTCAGAACAAACAGGTTTTTCACAAGACGATCTAATCTTCCCATTTAAATATTCTGTTATGTCTCAGAACAACGTCAGTCTGGCAAATCCTGTCTTCTTGGGTGCACAGAATGTTCTGATGTTGCTGAATTACAACTCTCAGGTGCCCCAGAGAGCAAGACAAAAGGTTAAGGACACCGCTAAATGGAATAGAAATCCTGTTCTTCAGCTCACCTATTTCCATGGTTAGTATGCACCATGAAGCCTTTCTCTGTGGGATGCTTAATCCAACCTATGCACCCTCCAGATGTAATGACTTCAACTCCCAGAATTCTCAGCAACTGTCCATTTGAGGAATTCTGGAAGTTGAAGCTCGCCCATCTGGAGGGGGTCCCAGTTCAGATAGATTGGTTATAAAGGCATAGATTATTCAAATGCTTCATAGGACAAACATGCTAACGTAAAAGAATTAACCTGCACATGAACTTAATTACTATTATTACAAGTCATACGTTCAGAAACACCGACTCATTAAAATTAGGACTTTAGTCGTAGACTAAAAGTTTTGGTAGCATCTTGAGGATGGGTGGAAAATAGTATAAAAGTGACATGTTCTAAAGCCAACAAACCCCGAGATTTCTAGTTTAGATTATTTTTTAATTCCAAAAAATAGAAATCATTCCCTAATATCTAAAATCATAGTTATATGATCTGATATGGTACACTGCATATTTTTAAAATCATAGCTATATGATCTGATATGGTACACTGCATATTTTTATATCTTCCTATGCCTCACGCTAGTATGTTAACAGGATAATGAAAATTTACCTTCTATTCAATTATTGGAATTCTGTGGATGAGTGAGGTTTTGTACTGCTCTACCATAGAGATATGAATTCATATCTTCATTTTTCCAAAAATAAGTGTTTATACCACAAAGCCCAGTTATAAACTGCCAACACTAGAACTCATTCATTTCCAAAGCTGCTGTGGATGTCAAATGAACACTTCACACTTTCTTCTCTTGTGCAGGTCATTAGAAGCCTGCCAGAACTGTGGGTACTATGATAGGGGGGGGAAAAAACATTGCTCACTTAATATGAGAAAAGTTAAAATGCTTTTCAATTAGTATTCAACACCCTCCTCTATCAGAAACAACACATATGCCACATCATTCTATAAACAAGAGCTGGAGCAACAGATTTTGTAACTCGGAGTAACTCAAGTGAACATTTCTAAAATGTTTATAAACACTGTATGCCAGAGATGACACAGTCAGTCAGACAATTCATGTTGTTTATTGTACAGGGTATTAGCAACTTTCATTCTGTGGGACAGTAGCTCTCATAGAAGGAGATCATAATCCATGTAATGAAATTCTACTGTTTTTATAAGTACAAACAAGGCTGTGCTATACTACCACAACTATAAGGAGGGAGATTTTCAAGCATCACATTACTTGCAGGAATATTAACCTTTTTTTAAAAAAAAAAAATGTAAAAGCACAGACTACTTAAAGCAGTCTGTCTTTATATAGGCGCCCTCACAAGGTTGAAAAATAGAGGTGGTCATTTTAAAAATTATATTAAATTTAATGAGTTGGCTCAATAAAGCATCCAGGGATTTCTTTCTAGATCATCCAGTAGTCTAGGAGAAGGCATGCTACATTAATAAATATATTCATGAGAGGCCAAAACATTTCTTCTGAATCATTTTCAAGGCATGAATAGCTCTACCATGTAACAAGTTCATTATTATTTCAACTTCATATGTGAAACTGAGGCAAAACTAGATCAGCTCCATTAAGTAGTCAAATGAATACGGTTAAAAAATAAATTCCTAAAGCAAAATCCGTCAAAGTACCTCTAATACTCTGGAACAGCTGTATTCAAGGGCTGATATCTATGATTGTGTAATTATGTTATAGCACCTAAGCTTCATAGCATTCTGAAGATACAAGAATTAATAATTCTTGTCTTTAAAGCCAGACACATCACATATAAGAATAATGCATCAAAAATCATAAATATCCATTCCACAATTTAAGTAGGCAAGCACTGGGAATTTTAAAAATGCTATCTCTATTAAATGTTATGCAGTCAACAAACCTGAATAAAACATCACTATGGTATCTATTAGCTCATTCAAATTAGAAATATAGCTTTGCTCTGGCTATCAATTACAGAAATTCAGCCTTCCAGAAACCCTTAGGAACATATGCAGACTGAACTGATAATCCGTTCTCAGGAAGCTCTTTCTATACTCTCTCTTCTTCAGCTCACTGTTCATTTTTCTTGCCTTTGACACTTTTTAGCTCTTGCTACATATGCCAAAACTTGTTGGCTTTTATTTGTCCTAAATGTTATCTGGTATTTGTAACTTATAATTTTTAAAGACAAACAATAGTCCATTTTAAGATGACAGCCTTTCAATTGTCAAAAGACAGAGACACTTTGATAACTGAAATAATAAACATAAATAGTACACTAATTACTTTTCTAAATTAGCTCTCATTTATGATAAATCCTAATTGGACTTTAGAATGTCTTTGATTATACAGACTGAATGAATCAACTGTTCATACAGATGGCTAGAAATAAGCAGCATCAGAATCACTAATAAATCAAGTTTCATCTTTCAATCTCATAAATAATTGCTACCTTTTATTATATCTTTTTACTAGCCTTGCATGCCATTTTAATCGTAACTTGACTCTGTGAAGCTTATGCGCCTATAAAATAAGTTTAAAATATACACTAAAATGATAGGCGAAACAATTCATGACTTTATGCCAGGTAACAAACAAACAAAATTCAATTTCAAACATAATTTCAAGGCTGACTATTTCATAACACATTTGTCTCAAAGCTTGCTGGAAAAGCCAGTTTGTTTTGAAAATCCCACTTAGGTTTAGATTTCAGAGGAATATTGTTAGAAAGAAGGGAGCAGCGATTGAAAAAGTCTACCTTTGAGACCCCACAAGGTGATATATCCTGAGTGAAAGGACTGGAGGGAGCCTCTTGCACCTCATCTTATCAGAATCTCTTCTTTGACCAGATGTTCACATAGATGATTAAACTGGGCATCATTAGGATACAACTGATATCACACCCTATGTCACTGGATCACATGCCCGGTATTTTCTTATAGAAGTTGAGCAAGAGTGGGGACATACAGCAGTCCCCACCCCCCAAAACAAACAAACTCCTGGGCCCCAGCCCACTAACAGGCCATATGGCCTATTTGGAATTGGGCCGCATGAATGGCTGGTTGGAGCAGGCGTACACACACAGCTCAAGTGAAGCTGCGTGTGTGCACACCTGCCTGCCACTTTTGCAAGGGCTATGTGCACACTGGCCCATTGCTTGCGTGACCCAGTTCCCCTCTGCCACCCCATCCCCAAGCCAGGCCAAGCCCCCAAATTGGAGACCACTGACCACAACTTCTCCCCTCCTAATATACCACCAGAAATTGCTCCTTCAGGAAGGAGAACTGTTATAATGAAAGCTCCCTACTTCCACTACTAAGAAATACTTCTGAAGGATACCGTGGCTGTTGGCGTGGAAAACCAGTAACTTAAGCGGAACCAGGGGGATCGCGCTCCCTCCATCTTGATCTCATTTTAAAGGTCATCCACGAGCATCACCAATGTAGTCTTGGTCCGACACCTTCTTTGCAGCACTCAACCAAAAGGGGAGACTAGAGATAACTGTCTAACTGCAGTGCCAACTGATGGTTTGAGAAAGCACAATACTGCCTTCTTTAGGGGAGGGGGTACTATCCCCTCATTTAAGGGTGTCTTTACCATTGCTCTAGCCCAGCCTTCTGTCACCTCCCTAGAGATTGTCACCAACCAGGAAGAGAAAGGGATCCAGGTGACAAGTTGTTGAGCTGCTGTCATACGTTACCCTGTCGCACCTCAAGAGGAACTGGTCCAAACTTATCCCAGATAAAGCTGTGAGAGAGAGAGATTCAATCACACCCACAGAACTTGCCTTCCTGGCATCAGTTCTGAGCAAATTTGAGTGATCTTATCTTCCAGCTCCTCAAAAATTCTCAGAGGGCCCCTATAATGTTCTAGACCATCCTTCCCTCAAAGGTGACAATCAGATAATGAGGTAACAGCAAATAAATAATGACGATTGGCTGTTTTTATCAGCATAAGAAAGTTCTTACCTATATTTGCTTGGATTCACTTTCTGCTTTTTTGCCAGTAGCGCTCTAGGCATATCCTTTGCCCCTTCCTCTACTGGGCTTCCTTAGTGAACCAAAGGACTTCCCTGGATTGATGAGCAGAGAAAGGCTGCACAGGTGCAATCCTAATCCTCAGGAGAGAGGATTAGGAATGCTCTTCTGAAATATAGTGGCTCCATTAGGCACCTGGGGCAGGTTGACTAATTAGCAAATGGGATTGAAAATAAAATATGGAATAAAATACTAGAGCAGGGTTTTCAATCTTGGCAGCTTCAAGCTTCATAATTCTAAAATTCCCCAGCCAGTAGGCTGCCTAGGACATTGTGGAAATTGGAAGTCCACGCTTCTTAAAGTTGTCAAGATTGAGAAACACTCTAGTCAGGTTCAAGTCCATCTACAGCCAGGGTATGTGGACCAGTTGCTCTTTCGCTAACCAACATACCTCAAAATGTGTTGTGACCATTCCCATGTAAGCTACTTTGAGATTCTGGAGGAAAGCCACAGTGTAAATCTAGTACAAATATTTCTCAATATTTTCTAATCTGACCATTACATCATTCCTGACCACTGAGCTACCAGTACGATGCATCTATTTTCTGATAGGTACAAAATTTTAAAAATGGCTTTGCAGAACAATCTTCGTATCACCATGGGTCATAAACCAACTGTGCAGCAATCATGGGCCCCGTAAGGGAATGCATTAACCTAGTTAATGATAATTTCTTATAACCATTCTGGGAATTGTATAATGAATTAAATTTGCCCCCTTTGGCAGGATTTAAAGCACAGAAGTACCACTGCTAATTTAGAATCTGCTATCATTACCCTTGAATTTTCAAACTTATATAGTTGTTTTATACATCCATCAAAATTAACTAGCCCAAACCCTTTATATATTAGAAAAAGCACAGTACTCAAAACTGGATGGTATTTGCTGGAAATACAATACAACAATGCCTCATTCCAATCTGTTTTTTTAACCACAAATCTATTCTGGGCACCATGAATAGTTTTTTAAAAATGTGTTTATTATTCAGAGTAAAAGCATACTCTCTGTCCAGGTACTAAAGCCTCAATTCATGAAGATGGTAATTGAAGCTATCCGAAGCATCCTGACACGCTGTGTCAATATGCCCTGAGCTTCCCACTTCCTGATTTAGCAAAAAAGTTATAATCTTAGTAAAAAGGTTACTGTAAAAAAAAGTATGTAGAAGCAATATTGAAATAAGTCTCTCTACATCAACAAAAAGGTACAGAAGAACTGGATTTGGGCTAAACTTTACACTAGCGTATGAAACACAGTATCAAGACAATTATGAGCAACTCCTTCCAGACATAACAAAGGTGATCAGAAACAAATGTAAATGTTCTTAGCCATTTCTATTTCTTCTCCAAACACCAAACAATTGAAACTATGTAGTTTCTTAAAGTCCCTGTAGCAATTCAGCAGTGCCTAAAAAAGTAGATATCCAAGAATAATCCATCCAATTCCTCACTGTAATAACTGGGGCAAAGATGCATATAAAAATGTGCACTGCAGTCAGGAGACATGTATCCGATCTTTCCACCCTTGTGATTTGCAATATCTTGCTGGCCATGTATGTGATCTCATCATTAACATTACAACACCCAAATTCTTTAAAGCAAGACAATTTAGTTTGATTTCACATTATGAACATACTTTTCTCCCCTTTCCCAAACTGGACTGTTTGTCATTCTACAGGAATAATTTTTGGTTGATCGAGTAATCAAATTTGCTTAAAGCATGGCTTAGTGTTTGGCTTAGCATTCAAGTTTGTTATCAACACATTATATTTCAAAGACTAAAATCAATCTGTTTTATACCAGGGTTCCCAAAAGATATGTAATCTGTCAAAGTTCCAGAGTACAGGTAGTCTTTGGCATAGGACCACAATTGAGCCCAAAACTTGTTAAGTGAAACATTTGTTAAGGGAGTCTTGCCCCATTTTACAACCTTTCTTGCCATAGTTGTTAAATGAATCATTGCAGTTGATAACTTGGTTGTTAAGTAAATCTGGTTTACCCACTGACTTTGCTTGTCGGAAGGATCTCCTGACTTTGGGACACAGCAATGTTCATAAGTATGAACCAATTACCAAACATCTGAATTTTGATCACATGACCATGGGGATACTTCAAAGGTCGTAACTGTGAAAAATGGTCATGTCACTTTTTTCAGTGCTGTTTTATGTTTGAACAGTCACTAAATGAACTGTTGCAAGTCAAGAACTACCTGTATTAGCCATTAGCTCCAAACTTAGTGTAAAATAGTAGCAATAAAGATAACTAGACTAGGCCAGAGCCAGAATAATTGAACCTACAATAGGAAATATACTGAAAATTATCTTATGCAAGTTCCGATTTTTTTTTTTGAGGGATCAACAATTCAATCAGCTCAATGTTGTAAACTATCTAGATCAATTATCTTATGTCAAAGAATTACCCATTGTACGTACCCATTTCTTTACAAATCATTTTATATAGGAGGGAAAGGAATCCCTGCTGATTTTATATTCCACTCATCCCTGATTCAAACCTGTGAACCAGCACTGTATGAGGATCTTTCTGTGGTCATCTGGTCAACATGTAGCAATATGTAAAATAATTTGGTAGCCAGGAAATAATTCTAGTTAAACAGCTATAGGAAGGGATTTCCACTACTTTCTTTGCAGTAACTGTTATATATAGTATATTGGATTTCAGATTTAATCCATCAAAAAGCCGCATAGGAATTTTAAGAGGTAAACATAATTACCTAGAACAGCCAATAAAAACAGGCCAAACCATCATGTCTCATCTTAGTTTATATCACTGGTTTGGTATTTGATAGCAGGAAGTCAAACCAGTTTTTAAAAATCTGAACTGGGGTTGAACTTGATTCATAGCTTCATCCTCCCTCTAATGAACCAGAAGCCAACCCCCCTAAAATGATCTCAACTCCTTGTTTTGAAAGGCTGCTGGTGCAACGTCCTACTACAAAGGCATGACTCACTCATCCTTTCCCAAAGCCACAAGTCACATTCCTACCAAATGTAAGTACAGATGGTAAAGTCAGCTCCAATTCTTGCCAAAGACAACAAACAGAATACGCATTGAGCCACATACTTACCCATCTCTTCCTTTACTAACTATCTTCACTTCAAAATAATAAATTCCACAGGCTGCAGGGATGGGGTGGGTAGCCCTGACAGAAGCAGCATCCTTGTGATTTTTCCCATGTCCTGGTTTAAACAGAGGGAGAGAAAGAGGCAGAAAACAGGTCAAAAACCTCTTTAATTCTTCAGTGAAAACAATCAGGCAGCAAGGCTTTTCAAAAGCCAGCCAGCCAGCCAGGCCCACAACTGAATACACTCCCGTACAGATAAAACAGATGTTCCAACAAATACATTAAAGGTGGTCAGGGCCCTAGAAAGACATAGCTGATCTCCTGTTATTGTCCCAGACAGAGAGGCTCCCAGCCCATCCTTTAGGGTAAAATTCTACTTTGGGGCAGTGTTTCTCAACCACGGCAGAGGGTTTTGTCCATCTTCAACCTGTGAAGATTGAGAAATATTGCCCCAAAGGATACTTTACTTCAAAGGTTGGGCTTTGGGTCTCTCCCCCCCGCCCTCTCTCTCTCTGGGACCATCCAAGAAAAACACCTGTGTGCTTCTGTTGCTCTGCCCTAGAAGACTTCAAATCCCAGAATTATCCAGCCACAAAATTCAGAGGTTTCAGAAGCCCACATTTTTTTTCATAACGCCTCCCCTCCCCTGCCACCTTCTTGGCTCCCTCAGGCGAAAGCCCCGCCATTTCCGCCCCCCCCCCCTCAGGCAGAGAAACGGGGCCTTCTCCCCCACCTTTGTAGTGAACACGGAGGTTGCCCTGGGAGAGGCCGATGTAGCTATACTTGTCCTTGGGGCTCCAGGCGCGCGGCAGCGGCGTCTCGGCAGGGTTGACGGCCGGGTAGAGCTGGCGGAGGCGCTGGCTCAGCTCTTGCTCCTCCGGCGGCGGGGGAGGCGGCGGGGGAGGAGGAGGAGGCGGCGGCAGCGCCGAGTCTCCCCCAGGTAAGCTCGCTGCACCCGCATCCGCCATCTTGGATCCACTATGGTGTCAGCGGGAGGGGAGCGGGCTCCCTTTCCTCGGCCGTCCAATGGGAGGCGGGCTCGGCCACAATGGAGGCGCGCGGCATGACGGGAAAGAGAGTCCAGCTCTGCCCTCAAGCCGGGCTAACTCGAGCGAAGCGGAGACTACAGATCCCGAGAAAGGCCGCGCGAGGGAGGGCCCCGCCCAGTCAGCTGCGTCGCAAAGGACGTCGGGATAGCGAGTACCAGACGGCATATAGAAGAGGCTTAGGAGCTTTCAAAGCCAGCGCTGAAATGTCCGGGGTGAATTCCTCTTTAAGCAAATAAATCACGCATGAGATGAGAAAGCGGGTCGGAGGAGATCCTGTGGCTTTGAAGTTACAAGGTTTCCCGTGTGAGCACGGGGTTGGACTAGAAGACCTCGAAGGTTCCTTACCGATCCTATTATTCTATGTTCTAAAAAAAAAAAAAGCAAACACACACACACAACCCCATCGCACAATTAGCTGCGAATCAGCTGTGACGAGAGAAACAAGCTAGCGAGATGCGTCTCTATGCAGTCTCGAAGACTATTGTTTACCCTGCCCCGTCCCTTGCAACATAAACACCCCCACCCCACCCCAAACACACATGCTTTCTATGAAAGGCCTGTTTAAACGGCCTCTCCCTCCTTGCAAAGCTGCATTTGCAGACGCAAGAATGTAAGAAATGTAAGAAAATTGGAGAATCCGGTGGTTTTGCAAGTTGCTTACATTGGCCTGGAAGCCTTCCTCGAAACACGGCCAGTTAAGGTTCCTAGCGCCCCCCCCCCCCCCCCCCCCCCCCCCTCCCCCCCCCCCCCCGCGCAAGCATCCCAAGCCCCCTCTCGCTGAAAAAAAAGCCCCCCCGGTGAATAACTGCCCCGCGCGCTACCGCGGGACGCCACTAGAGGGCGAGGCAGCCTCGCTCAAAGCGTCGAGGGGCGGAGCCTGTTGCCGTGGCGACCTCTCCGTCAACAGCCTCCGCGGCTGTTCCCGTCTCCGCGGCCATGGAGGCCCGCCCCTCCGTTTTTATCGGGTGAGTCCACTTCGGAATGGCGCTTGAAGTGAGGAAAGTAGGCAATATAAGGCCCCCGTCCGGGTTGGGAAGCTTGTCACGCCGAAGAGGCGGGTTTCCTTCAGCGGTCGGTCCTTGCAGGCCTTGGCTTTGTAAGCGCTGTGGTGAACCTGACGGCGACGCTGAACTACAACTCCCGACAGTCTGGGAAGGGCGGGAAGCCGCCTTTTTATGCTTCCAGCCAGCCAGGATGGGTTATGCGAGCCCCGCCCCTACGGTGACCTCACTGCGCAAGCGCCTCCTTCCTCGACGTCTCTGCATGGTCCGCCTCGTGGGCGGGGCCGCCGCAGGTATCACGTCCCTGATTGGCTGTCGGAAAAAAGTCGCCCCGCCCACCTAGTTGGTCTGATTTCTGCGGGTAATTCGAATTGCAGGTAGTGGAGATGCCTGATTACAGATTAACAGGGATTTTGGAAGGGTTCTTGTAGGTCATCTAGTCCAACCCCTCTCCCAAGCAGGAGACCCTACACCATTTCTGACAAATGGCAGTCCAGTCTCTTCTTAAGAGTGGATGGGCTGCTACCGGTTGCTGATGATCGGGGTTTTTTTGGGGGGGGGGAGGCATAATTAAAGAGCCCTTCTTTGCATAGTTTGCATTGTTGAATTGGAGCTTTTAAAAATAAAGTTCCTGGGGAAATTAACCTATGTACCTCTCTCTCTTAATATTCTAGGTCTGGCAATCTAGAAGCTGATAAAAGGTAACTGCAATGAATTCTATATTTACCCTCTTAATTTCCATAATTATCAAAGTATAACAGTTGGCTGCGTGGATTGGTGACAATGGGAGTGGTTGCCTAGCTCATTCGGAGATTCAGGTGCAGAAAAGCAATCTTAGGAATGGATTTCAAACCTCTTGAAACCGTTTCTGCTGCAACATAGAATGAATTGAACATGAATTGAACCTGCTAACATCTGTTCTAGTCTATAAAAAATCAGCACTTGGGAAAATATAAATATAAATATATATATATAAAAGCAATTTTAATGGAAATTGAATTATATACATTTTTTTGTGTATAAACTATTTGCATGTTAAGGCCTTTCGTCAATATGAGAAAAAAAATAAGGAAATTTATATTTTTTTAAAAACCTGCCAATATGGGTAAGAAGGATTGTATGAAAGGCAGTTCATGTTGCTAAGCACAGAAACCTGTGTGCATCAGCTCTGTTGGTGAGAGAATATTGGAAATTAAAAAGGCATGTCAGCTACAGTGGGGATAAACTTGGGTCACCTTGTACAGGTAGTCCTCGACTTATGACTACAATAGAGTCCAAAATTTCTACTCCTAAGCGAGATAGTTGTTAAGTGAATTTTGCCCCATTTTATGATCTGCCTTGGCACGGTTGTTAAGTGAATCAGTGCTTTGTTAAGTTTGCTAAATGAATCTGGTTTCCCCATTGACTTTGCTTGTCAGAAGGTCGCAAAAGACGGTCACATGACCCTGGGATGCATCATAAGTATGAATCAATTGCCAAGCGGCTGAATTTTGAGAAATGGTCAAAGTGTGAAAAACGGTCATAACTCACTTTTCCAGTGACGTAACTTTGAACAGTCATGAAATAAACCGTTGTAAGTCGTGGACTATCAGTTGTCTCTGAGAATTTGGGCAGTGAAAAGAGTGGTGTGAACTGGGAGTGGTGTGAACTGAGTCTGTGTAACTCGGCCTCCCTTTGATCTTGAGTTCTCCAGCTCCAGTTTCTTGTTGTACCGCAGGGTCTCATTTCATCGATCTTCTCAAAGTATAATTGGTAAAAACTTGCCTGTTGTGAAGATCTCATCTCAGAAAAAACAGAAATATGTGGTGAGTAGCTCTACCTCAGCTAGTCCATCTTATAGAATTGAATTGAATTCTTTATTGACTAAGTGTAGTTGGACACACAAGGAATTTGTCTTGGTGCAAATGGTCTCAGTATACATAAAATAAAAGATACATTCGTCAAGAATTATCAGGTACAACACTTAATAATAGTCATAGGGTACAATAAGCAATCAAATCATTCCAGGAAACAGTCAATATAGATCGTAAGGATACAAGTGACAAAGTTACAGACATACAGTCACAGGTGGGAGGGGATGGGTGATAAGGAGTGATGGGAATAATAGTAATAGTAGGGCAGACTTAGTAAATAGTTGGACAGTGTTGAGGGAATTTTTTGTTTAGCAGAGTGATGGCTTTTGGGAAAAAACTGTCCTTTTGTCTAGTTGTTCTGGTGTGCAGGGCTCTATAGCGTCATTTTGAGGGAAGGAGTTGAAACGGTTTATGTCCAGGATGTGAGGGGTCTGTACATATTTCCACAGCCCTCTTTTTGACTCATGCAGAATACAGGTCCTCCATGGAAGGCAGTTGGTAGTAATTGTTTTTCTGCGGTGCCACATCTGTTTGTGTAATTTTGTGGCCTAAACTAGTAGGTTTCGGCATCAGATACTCAGGTCTTGGAAATCACCTAGTAATCTTGAGCATCATACAGGAAAACCTCTACCATGATAAAAAAAATGAGGGTGCCCTTTTCAACTGCATATGCTGGGAGGCAGTAGCAAATGTTGGAGTAGACCGGTTTTTCTCAACCTTGTCAATTTTAAGATGCGTGGACTTCAGCTCTCAGAAGATCCCATCCAACGTGACTGGCTGAGGAATTTTGAGAGTTGATGTCCACATTACACATCTTAAAGCTAAGAGGCAGAGAAACACTAAAGTGGACCATTCTATCCACCCTCCCTTAATCTGTTGTCTTTGAGGTACAATGGAAAATAGCGTCCTGTTGCCAACGCTGAAAGAAAGATTCTGCCACTGAAAGAAGACAGCAATAGTCCTTAGACTTATATACCGCTTCATAGTGCTTTTATGGTGAGGAAAGCAACTGGCTTATTTTCATCCTCCTTAGGTACATTCAAGTAGCAGCCATTTGTCCACCTGGCCAGCCTATGAACCAGGGCAAGGGATCCTTCAGAACCGAAAACCGTGCTCTCTCCCTGGTTGGCAAAGGTAGGTCTGGATACGGCATTGAGATGTTTAGCTTCTGGAGTTAAAAAAAAAAAAAACATCCGGGAAAATTTGGGGTTCAAATAAATATAGTGATATAAAGATTTTTAAACATCAACATTCAACAGAAAAGGGGTTGTTGTTGTTTTTTTGGTTTTTTGTTTGCTGGACATAATGGAGAGTCAATGAGAAAAGAGCTGCAGAACGTTATTTTTGTATATAATAACTGCTGTAACATTGTTATAGGCACAAACGTTGGAAAGGCTCTGGATCGGAAAATGAACTTGTCTGATTAGGGAAAGGGAAATAATTCCATTCATTAGTGATCGAAAGCCCCTTATGGGCTTTTTGCTGAAGGAAGAAAAAAAAACCCCACTTATGATTTAAAATAGAAATGCATTAATCACTGTTAAGAAGATTGGAATCTAAACCTTTTCTTCTTCTATTTATGATTTTCCTTTAGTTAAGATGTCTACAAGTAATCTTGATTTACGACCACAATTTAGCTCAAAATTTCTGTTGCTAACCGAGACATTTAAGTGAGTTTTGCCCCATTTTACGACCTTTCTTGCCACTGTTGTTAAGTGAATCATTGTTAAGTTAGTAACACCGTTGTTAAGTGAATCTGGCTTCCCCCATTGATTTTGCTTGCCAGAAGGTTGCAAAAGGATACCCCATGACCCCGGGACACTGGAACCGTCATAAATATGAATCAGCTGCTAAGCATCTGCATTTTGATCACATGACTTGGGGGGGGGCGCTGCAGTGGTCATAAGTGTGAAAAAAGTCACAAGTCTCTTTTTTCAGTGCCGTTGTAACTTTGACCGGTCACTAAGGGAACGGTTGTAAGTCAAGGACCACCTTTATTCTTTTAATTTTCTTACAATTTCTTTAATAAGGGTATGAAAAAGAGATTTCATGCTCCAAAGTGACATTTGCTGGTTGACAAAACGTGGCTTGATCTCTCCACCATCTGTTCAGAAGAGGCAGATTCTCTGCTAACGGGGCAAGATGTTGTAAGTCTATAGTAGGGCAGTTGCTGCATTTACAAGGGAAGAATGCCTGGCATCCCATCTTGTAAGAAATACTTACTGTCAGGCACATGGGCAGCTGCCTCCAACCCAAAGTGATTCCTTCCAAGCAAGATTGTTGGAAGGCTTTTTAAAGCAAGATTTATTAAACCCTATTGATTTCTTGATTTTCATTTAAACCATCTCTCTGCCTTCTTTTTACTAAAAGTGGAACAGCTGCCAACCGATGTTTACATATCAGGTTGGGAATCTACTAGATCAGGAAAGAAGATGTCTGGAGGAAAAATATTCGCAATGTCTTCCAATATGAATAGAAAATATTGGACTAAACAAGCCTGTCCTGAAATACTACACTATTCCTATTCACATTCCCTGCCCTACTGCTTGTGAGCCTAGAGGCTTCGAAATAGTAATTTTGCAGCTCCCGAGGCATTGCTTTAAAAACAGGTGTTTAAATTCCTAACGCGTTGTGCTCTGTCGTAAGAGGCTGTGAAAAGCACAATATAGGGTGCAAAGTAGGGTGTAGCATTTTTGAGACCTACAATCCTCCATATGGTGAGCCCAGGACGAAAAGCAACAAAAATGGGATGCTTAAATCCAATGTTAATTGGAATTACTCCCCCATGTATTTTAAACATCTGACCCTGCCACCACATTACAGAAAAATTGGAACGGCAGTTTTGGCTCCACCTCGGACGTTATGGACAAAACTTCACGTCACACGATACTGAGAATTGTCCCAGTTGGAATTCTTCTCTAGAAAGAGACTTTGGCTCAAAGGTGCTTTTTCAAAAGGCAGCTAGACTGTTTTGTTTTTCCCTTGAGGAAACAAGCAGGTGTTTTGCTTCTCATCCCAAGAGGTTTCATCGGTTCTGGCGGGATGGTGTCAGCTATGGAAGGATTTGTCTCGACAGGATGGAAAGAGGTGGAATGAAAGGATTGTATTTCTTTGCAGTCATCTGGTCATTAGCACTCTCTCTGAGGGCTCTTGAGCAGTGGTGGGATTCAAATTTTTTTACTACTGGTTCTGTGGGCGTGGCTTGGTGGGCGTGGCAGGGGAAGGATTCTGCAAAATCTCCCTTCCCTCCCCACCCCACAAACCTGCTTTCCAGCTCCGTTCTCCTGTGCAACCAAAGGAGACCCAGCCAATCAGCTGGGACTCGGGAGGCGGAGAATAGATGGGGGCGGGGCCATTCAGAGGTGGTATTGGCTGGTTCTTTGAACTACTCAAAATTTCCGCTACCGGTTTTCCAGAACTGGTCAGAACCTGCCAAATACCACTTCTGCTCTTGAGGCCACTTGGGAGTTAATCTGTGCCCTCGGGGGTCACCTAAATCAGGGTGCAATTGGTTGTGGAATCTTCTTGGAACTGCTAAAAGGGTTGTGTTGGAGATCGGTGGGGTCTTAATCCTTGCCCCTTGGTTGAGAGAGGGCTGCTCAACGTTAACAATAAATGGCCCCTTTTACCCCTCTTTCAAACCAGCCGTCCTCGCTATCTAGAAGGCGGACTTGACTTTGCTTTGAGTGTTTGACTTTCGACTGCTACATCTGGCTGGAAGAGCTTTGTTGATTACCTTTCCATAAGTGGTGTTTGTCATTGTGGCAGCAGCGTCTTGAATGTTCAACCTCGTCAAAATGTAATATAATAATAATAACAACAACCTTTATTTGTTTTGTTTTTTATTTATTTATTTTATTTTGTCAAGCGATTATTAGATAACAGGTATAAGTATAAACATGGTTATGAATACATGAAATGGGTACATATAAGAAAAATAAAAGAAACAATAGGACAGGGACTGTAGGCACGTTGGTGCGCTTATTGCACGCTCCCTACAGACCTCTTAGGAAAGGCGTGAGGTCAATAGGAGACAGTCTAAGGTTAAAGTTTTTGGGGTTTGGGGAAGAAACCACAGAGTCAGGTAGAGTATTCCAGACATTGACCACTCTGTTGCTGAAGTCGTATTTCCTGCCATCAAGTTTGGTGCCGTTTGTCATTGTCATTGTACATATATACAATGAAATTGATTTTGCTCCTGCTGGTGCTCTCCATAATGGAAATACAACACCACATAAATCATATAGAAAACGCTCTTTATACGAGTAACTAGTGACGGTCTTCCTTACTCTGCTGAAACAACGAGACCTGGCGATGTCATCCAGTGGTGTTCGGGGGGCAACCAATGATTTAACAGCCCATCAAAATGCTAATATTCTGCCTTTCAGCACCAGCAAACCTCTCATGCCGATTTCAAAGCCACGTTACCTGGAAGAGCTGGAATCCTATTTGCGGGCAGAGTTGCAAGCCCTTGACCTGACCAAAGGAAAAGTTCAAGAACTTAAGCTCCAGGTTTGAGAAGCAGGGAATGTAGAAAACTTTAAGCCTTGGGGCTCAGGGATCCACAATTGGTTTATGGAATATCTTTGACCGTAGCTGCTAAACATAAGCGCGGCTTCTTCTTTTTTTTTTTGCTTTTCTGAGTTATGTATAAAAACCAGAAGGCATGCTGTAAGAATGTTTTTAATTCTTTGGTTTTAAAACATGTAAAAGCCAAGAAAATAAAGTCTCCTCCTTGACCAGGAAAGGAGGAAACTAAAATAGTAATAATAGAAATTCAAGCTTTTTTATGGCTAGGACATGGCCACATGACCCTCTGAATCGCTGGCCTTGCCTCCCCAAAACACAAATTCAAGCTCCTAGAGACCAAATGCATTTCTTTATTATTTTTATCCCACCTTTATAAAAATCCCACCTTTATAATTATAAATAACTCAAGGTGATGAACATACGTAATACACCTCCCTCTTCCTATTTTCCCCGTTTGATTGGAGTGTGATAGAGTGACTGGCCCAAAGTACGCCGGCTTTCATGCCTAAAGTGGGACTAGAACTCACCATCTCCTGGTGATTGGCCCAAATTCACCCAATTGGCTTCCATGCCTAAGGCAGGACTAGAACTCACACTCTCCTGGTTTCTGGGCCAGCACTTCAATCATTACATCAACCTGCCTTTCAGTGCAATACCTATCCCTATTAGAAAGCTTTATTTATTTAAGTCCACCAAGAATCTCTTTAAAGGCAGAAGAGGCAGATCCAGAACCCCGCTGTGGTGGTGAATAGAAAAACACAGTTTCTCAAACTTTGCAGTTTTAAGATGTGTGGGTGTCAACTTCTAGAATTCCCCAGCCAGCATGTATTTTTTTTTATTTCTCTCTCTCTTCCCCACTCCCTCCTATTTTTAGCCTTATAGAGAAGTATTTGAATGTTTCATGGAAGAATTCAAGACTTACAAACCTTTGTTGGCTTCCATCAAGAGAGAGTATGAATCAACTATAGGTGAGAGTGCTATGACATCACCTCAGGAAACGTTACAGTGATATTGAACTGGCTAATTTTCACAGGAGGTTCTGAGCAGATTCCATAGCAGTAGGAGACAGAGATTAAGATCATTTTCAACCCAGCGCTCTTAAAAGGCCACATAATCCACAGGTCTTTGTGTCTTTTAGTAACTCAGAGATGCATCTCTGTCTACTTCTAGCCCACCTGCAGGAAAAGATCTGCACTCTGGAATCAGTGAACGGGGTTCTGGTCACAGCCTCCGATCAATGTACTCAACAAATCCTGGCTTTTCAACAGCAGGAGAAAATTGAAATAGCAAAATTGAAGGACGAGCGGCTTTATCTGCTGAAGCTGATTGACAAAATGAAAGAGGAAAAATGTTCGCTAGAGACCCAGGCAAGTCTTTTCCTTACCCTATTCATCTTTTAATCACCTGGGCCCCCCAAAAAAAATTGGATTGTAGCATCTCTGCTAGCACAATTGCACCTTTTCAAAACGTTTCTGGCTGCCTTCCCCAGGTCTCCATTATTGACTTTGTTAAAAGAAAAGCAGGATAAGAAGAGAGGCACATGGAGTAATTCACGTGGAATATGTGATTGTAATGATCAGGCAGAGAGAAATCAGGTTTGTGTCTAATTGTCGGCTCTTAAGACAGAGTGCAGCTTTTTTTCATTATACCTAACAGAAGAAAGCATGTTCTTGAGGTAGAGTATTATAGAATATTTAGGGTCCTCCAAAGCAGACCAAAATTGCAAATGGCTGAGTTTGTCTAATGGGCAACTGCAGTATAAAATATAGGCTCTTTATCAGCATTTATCCCATACAGGTAAAACCCGAAACTCTCAGCTTCAAGTTAATGTCAGCGTTCCAATTAACCAACTCCAAACCAATAAACTCCAAGGCAGACATTTCCTCAAAGTTCCATTTTATTGGAATTGTCATATTGGCGTATCTGGGAAAACCCAAATCTGAGAATTTTGTGTTTTCCCTTCCCAAAAGAGAAATCAAAGATCCATCCCCTGTACCTATCAGTCCATCAAATGGCCCAATCAAATCTTCATCTCAACTGAAGACATCCCCCGCATCCAGGTGCAGGGAAACATGTCCTTGACTCTCTGAGAAAAAACGTTGTTGTGTCTAGTCTTCTACCTCATTATGAAATCCCCGCTCCCAGACAGATTCCCAGGCACGGAATGTGGCAGCCTCAAAGCTTCCAAGTAAAAAAATGGCTTCCAAGCCTGACACCTCAACTTACAACAACAATTGAGCCCCAAATTTCTGTTGCTAAGAAAGACAGTTGTTAAGGGAGTTTTGCCCCATTTTACAACTTTATTTTTGCCACCGTTGTTAAGTGATTCACTGCGGTTGTTAAGTTAGCAACACGGGTAGTACATGAATCTGACTTCCCCGTTGACTTGACTGATCGGAAGGTCTCAAAAGGTGGACCACATGACCCTGGGACCCTGCAACCGTCATAAACATGAGTCAGTTGCCAAGCATCCGATGTGGCGATGGAGATGCTGCAACGGTTGTAGGTGAGCATTAATTTGACTGCAGCTTCTGTGAACACGCAGTTTCAAACTCTTAGACAGAGCTCACAGCTGCAACCCATGAGGAGGATCAAGGCCCTCTCCTCCCGAGTAGACCACGTCTCTCCCTTATTCTCTCCTCCCTGTGTGCCCTGGGATGGAGAGGGGATGGGCCTGGATCCTCCTCTCATCCGGCCTCTGCCCTTCCCCAGCCTCCTCCACAACACTTCCCCTCCCTGTTGGCTGTTCCTCCTCTTCCTCAGAGTCCGTCTCCAACAGGGGCATGGCAGGCCTCCCTCCATCTCCCGCTCTTCTTCCCTTGTACAGGTGGCTAAATTGCGAAAGACAGTGGCCGAGGAATACCTGCGTTACCTCAACGAGTGCGATGCCCGCAAGCTATTACTCTTGGACCTCAACGAAATGTACCGCCAGAAGGAAGAAATGAGGCTCACCATGGAGCAAGGTAGAAGGAAGAGCTCCAATTTCTCCCACTCGTTCAGGGGTGTCAAACTGGATTTTTCCTCGGGGGCCGGAACAGCGTTGTAGTTCTCCTCTGGGGGCGGGGAGACAGGATGGACACCTCCTGAAGCCCCCTGCAAGCCAAAATGGGGGGTGGGGGTGGGGGGGGGACATGCCCAGTTGCTGCACGGTCCATTTTTGGCCTGCACAGCCTCCTGCAGCACTTTGCTGGCCAAAACAGGCCTGCGTGGGGGCCACCTGGGGGCCACCCGGGCCAAAAACAGGCTGTGCAGGGGCCATGCGGAGACCCCCTGCCCCCCCCGCCGCCGTGCCCTGTTTTGGCTGCCAGAGGCACCGCAGGCCAGTCCTTTATTATTGTCATGCTGGCCCCATGGGCCAGATTTAAGCATCCCTTGGGCCAGATTTGGCCCATGGGCCTTGAGTTTGACACACCCACACGAGTTCCTCAACTCTGCCAAGAAGCAGGTTGGGACGCTGGGTTGACCATCAGCAAGCTCACCCAGTTGCAATCACGCTCATTGGAACCCTAGCACTAATTTACATTGGGGTTTGTTTGTTTTTTAATGTGCTTTCATGCAGTGTCTGGTCTAGATCTTGGCTTGTCCATTCTCCCCCGTCCTCAACTTCTGACCGATTGCCAGTGGATTTTTTTTTTTCTTCCTCCTTAGTGATCTGAAAGTTCAAGGTTCTCCCAATGATGTGTGATTTTTTCCGAGTGTCCCTTGGACCTTCCTTGGACTTCTTTCTTCTCTTCTAGAGGATGTTCTGGAGGAGGACACCGTGAAGCTGAAGGTGGCACTGAGGGTAGCCCGCCAGGACCTCACCAAAGCTCAAGTGGACCTGAACACCATGCAGGCAAACTATGGAGATGTTGTGCCCAGAAGAGACTTCGAACTTCAGGAGCAAAAATACAATGACTTGGCTAATAAGGTGCCTAAAGAAGAAGGAAAATTGGCAAATTCCCTATTATGGAGGAGGAGATCCAGTATTGGCTGTCCTCCTCTCCTCTCCATTCTATCTCTATAGGGATAGAGTAGAACTTAACTAGAAATCAGCCAATCTATCTCTTTTTTTTTTTTTTGGAGGAAGAGATTCTTCTAATTCTATTTACGCCTGATCAGACTTTGTAGTTCTCTTCTCCATTTTCCGATTTTAACAATCTTCCCGGGAGATATTTTAATTCTTTTTCCACCTCCCTGGTCCAGAAGATCACTCACCCAGAACTTCAGATCTTGTGCTCATCCTCATCCTTTCTTCCTCTTACCCTTTCAGTTGTCAACTCTTCAAAAAGACTTCGATGACCTTCGTGACGAATATGAGATAATGTTGGATATACACAAACAAGTGGCCGACGACCGAGACCGCTACTTCAATGACCTCATCAATGTCCAGCGGACGTCCACACCGCGCCCTGACTGGAACAAATGTGGAGGTATAATTTAGTACAGCCGACGTTGCACAGGTAGTCCTCAACTTACAGCCGTTCGTTTAGTGACCGTTCGAAGTGACAACAGCGCTGTCAGGGCTCCAGCATCCACCCCCATTCAAATCATGAGTCTCTAGCCATATCCCTGAGTTCAAAGAAGATTTATTAGGAGTGAACACGCTGGTTGTCATGCCCTTGTTAGAGTCGGACTCCGAGGGAGAGGAGGAACAGGAGATGTGGCTCCATAGGTTGTGGAGGAAACTGGGAAAGGGCACAGGCCGGCTGGGCAGTCAGAGGAAGAACCAGGCCCGTCCCCTCTGCACCCCAGGACACGCAGGGAGGAACGGAGAAGGAAACAACTTGGCTTATGAGAGAGGAGGCGGCCTCCCTGCGTGCCCTAAGATGAAGAGGGGATGGGCCTGGGTCTTCCTCTGACTGCCCAGCCGGCCTGTGCGCTTCCCCAGGTTCCTCCACCACCTCCGGAGCGACAATCCCCCTCCTCGTCGGCTGTTCCTCCTCTCCCTGGGAGTCAGACTCCAACAGGGGCATGACACTCTGCCTGATACTATCTTCCTCTTCCTTGCAGACGTGGTTCTTGGTGGAAATGAGCGCTGGAGCAGCTTGTCGGTGGGCAAAACAAGCGACCAGCTAGTCGATGTGCTTTTGGAGGAAATCGGCGCGGGTCTCCTGAGGGAGCGCGACACCTTCACCGGGCGGGTATGGTTGAGCTTTCAAGTCCTCCTGTCACTCCCCCCACAACAGCAGATAGAAATTGATGGGGGTGTGTGTGTGTGTCTGAAGTTCACTTCCCCAAAGAGCCTGGTCTGATCCCAACAATTTAGAGATTGTATAAAGGAGAATATTTGTAGCTCAGGGCTGAAAGGAGGGGTCCTTGGTGCTCTCTGAGCTGGGTTGTTTCCTTGCAGGTATTTCCTTGTCCCGACTAGGTAGCATCATCAGAGCTAGCACGATTGATGTTACCTTAGTTTGGATAATGAAATGTCTGCAGTTAAACAACTAAGCTCAGAGAGCATTAAGAACTCCTAATTTAAAGATTTCTTCTTCTTCTTGGTCTTCCAGGAAGGGAAATCAGGAAGGAAATTTATTCCAGTTAAAAGAAATGTGTTGGTTTTTTTTAACTCTAGCAAATTAGAAATAGCTTTGCAAAACATTCCAAGCTTGGCTGAAATGCACTTGGTGATTAGCATGTTGTGGGAAATGTCTGTGGGGATTCTCAGTCATCCTGGTCAGAGTTGTCTCAAAGGTGCTTTTTTCAAAAGGCAACCGGACTGTTTTTTTTGAGGAAGATGTTTTGCTTCTGGGTTGCATTAACAGAGGGATACAATTGAGATCAAGGGAGGTACTAATACCACTCTATAAAGCCTTAGTAAGACCACACCTGCATCCAGTTTTGGTCACCACATTATAAAAAAGACGTTGAGACTCTAGAAAAAGTACAGAGAGCAGCAACCTGGGGACTGGAGACTAAAACAAATGAAGAATGGTTGCAGAAACTGGGCCTGGCTAGCCTAGTAAAGAGAAGGACCAGGGGAGACAGGAGAGCAGTCTTCCAATATTTGAGGGGCTGCCCCAGAGAGGAGGAAGGGGTCAAGCTATTTTCTAAAGCACCCGAAGGCCAGACAAGGAACAATGGATGGAAACTGACCAAGGAGAGATTCAACCTGGAAATAAGGAGAAACTTTCTGACAGGGAGAACAATCAACCTGCCTTCGGAGGTTGTGGGAGCGCCATCACTTGAGACTTTCAAGAAGAGATTAGACTGCCATTTGTCAGAAATGGTGTAGGGTCTCCCGCTTGGGTGGGAGGTTGGACTAGATGACCTACAAAGTCCCATCCAAGTCTGATTATGTTATCTGTTCTCTTTTAAGAAGCTTCATCAGTTGTGACAGGATTGGGCGGGGATAGAAGGATAGGTACAGGGAAATCTTGGTGTCATCATGGTCTCATCATGGACCTGGCCATCCTTCCGAGCCAGGAGTGGCTGACCTTATAATGCCCTGATCCCACAAGCCCTTTGAAGCGCACTCATTATTTCCACAGCTTTGTACGAGAGCTGTGGGGCTCCAGTATAACAACCTAACGCCACAAGTTGGCTTTATGGCTTGTCTTGATCTAAGTGGGCTTTTGTGGTTGCCTAAGTAGGCAATTCTTTTTCTCCGCAGGGAAGAAGCGAAAGGATCCCCCCGTATCTGAGGTGTGATGGCCTGGTTAGAAACAAGAAGCTGACCAAGAAGGAAGTCGTGGCCCTTCTGAGGGAGATATGGAGGGAAAAAATCATATCCGATCAGCAGGTCTCTTTGGTTTTCCTCTCTCTCTCCTCCTCCTCCGGGGTTGACTGAGTCTCTCTCAACGTAGCTGGCTGAGGGGCTGGGTTTAGCCTGAGCAGATCCAGGAGCCCCCTGAACATGGGGTGCTCTGGGTGACTTGATTTCCTCCCAGTAAGATGGATATGGGGGTAAAATGAAGGCAGGCCTCAGAGAAAGTTTGCCTCGAGTCAGAAAAAAAGGCCAGAAGACCAGAGCAAGAAATTGCAATTTTTTTTAAAAAAGTACATTTTCCTCCTGTGCCACCTTCCTCTGGCAGGCTAGCAGGCCCCTTTTTTAGGCGAGAAGAAAAGGTTTAGGCCCACAGGACCACAGACGTCAAAAAGTGGAGGAGGCCGGACGTAAACCGAATCCAATCTAATTGGATGTAAACATCAAGTATCCCTTAAAAGCGAAGCACCATGAACTGTCCTTACTTGCATTGTGTGATGTGGTTGTGTTAGCAAGAGAGAGAGTTTAGCAGGGGGAAAAGAGGGAATTGTGGGGCCTGCGTCCTAGAATAAGGCAGTCCAGGGTCAAACTGGAGCTTCAGGCAGCCCACCCCCCTTATTTGTGGCCCAATGAGAAGGAGCTTGGGTTTTACAGTTGAGGGAGGGGCCTTCGCTGCCCTCCCCACATGCTTCAGGCTCAGTAAAAAAATAAAAACCCTCCTACAAGCAGTCCTCAACTTATAAGCGTTTTGTTTAGCGACTCTTTGAAGTTGAATAAAGTAGTGAGACCGGTCCTCGTACTGGTAACTATGGCAGCATCCCCCCCACCCCAGGGTCACGTGATCAAAATGCGGGCGCTTGGCAACCGGCAGGTGTTTTCGATGGATGCGTTGCGGCATCCCAGGGGTCACGTGGTTGGGTCGCCGTTTGCAAAACTTGCCAGCCGGCTTCGGACAAGCAACGGTTTCACAGGGGAAGACAGATTTGCTTAATCCTCACTTAACCACTGTAGTCGTTCACTTGACCATTGTAGCAAAACAACAACAAAAATCGACCTGCAGGCCTGACTCCCTTAACAACGCGTTGCTTAGCCACAGAAATTCAGTTCCCAATTGTGGTCGTGATTGAGGACCCCCTGTACCGAATTAAAAATTAAACCCCAATATAATTGCTAAGTCTACATTTTTCAGGATATCCTGTTTGGCTTTTAATTTGAGTGTCTCTTCTGCTTTTTTTCTTTTTCCTTTTACAGAAAGGGAAACAATCTAGCCTGCCTGATTTCTTCCTAGGCTTCTTTCAGAAAAAATACGGAGAAGCTGCGGCTTTTGACTGGACTTACAGCGTCTATGAAAACCTCAAGCTCTTTCGGTCAAATGAAATGATGGCCTTGTTCTTTAATGTCCTGACGGGAAATGTGAGTATCTTAAGTTGCTTAGGATAACAAAGAAGCCCACAAATCAGCTCCTTCCACAGGTGGCTTCTTTGGGACAATGATACTGTCAGACTGCCCACAGCTTGAATCTCTGGATAAAAATGATCTTTGGCTCCATTTATTGAGAATGGTGTAGTAAAGTTCCGGAAACACTCCATTCCACCCAAGAACTCCGAGACAGACATCTCTCAAAAGTTCCTTTTATTTGGATAGTAAACTGGCACAACTGGGGGGATCCTGAATCTGAAAGTGCCGGGCTTCCTTGCAATAAGTAAAAACTACAAAATCTATCCCCCTGCAAGCCATCATCGCATCACATGTCCCAATCACCATCCGTCCCAAGTTAAGACTTCCTTTCACTACGCGCCACTCGACCTGACCTTGAATCAGAAAAAGAACGGTATTCTGTCTAACTAGATAGTCTCCAATAAATTCTCCCCTCCCACTTTCCCAGTCTCGTGGGAGCATCGGGTCTCCGTATGGCTTCCAAAGCTGACATCAAGTGTAGTACAGCATTACATAACCGGAACTGAGAATTGCGTGCCAAAATTCCTAAGGTCTACTTTTCCTGACCTCCTTTACTATTCTCTCATTGCCCTTCCCAGTGTAGTCAAGTTCAGGCAAGATTTTTTTCATAATGGTCAGCCCAAGTACAGTCCAGACTCCCGGACGGATCCCCTTTCTTCCCTACTGTCAGATTCTGTCTGCACAGGCTGCTCACAAACCACAACACCTAACTCTGCACATCGCTGGAGAAAAATAGCTTGACCTGCTAAACTTTAGCTATTGATGGGGCTTCCCAATGTCCAGCTCCTCAACACCTGAAGGTTCTTTAAAAGATGCTTGAATGAACACGTCACTGCTTGGGTATTCTCCAGAGAGCAGGAGTCTCCAACCTTAGCAAAGCTAGCTGGGGAATTCTGGGAGCTGGTCCCTCCCCGACTTAAAGTTGCTAAGGTTGGAGAACCCTGCTGGCAAAGGAAGGCGGGACTGATGATCCAGACTCAAGGGGGGGATGGGGGAAACGTGACCCTGCTACATCTTGATGTTTCTGCCACCTCTTTCACAGGTGGATGAGGGAGTATATCATTATCACCTCCTGGAACTTAACAACTTGTTAAAAGAACTAACTCTTGCCGATACCGAAAATACTGGCCAGTTGACAGAGGAGCAATTCACGTAAGAGCCACTGTATAGCTAGCTGCACCTGCAACAGGACAATAAACCAGAATTGGAGCCCTAAAAATGTGCATATATTTTAAACTGATACCCAGTGATGTTTGGGGGCTTTAATATTACAAATATTGAAACATATTTCAAATATTGAAACATATTTCAGATATTGAAACGTATTTCAAATATTAAAGAATTTCAATATAGTTGTCTGTCCCCCTTTTTCAAAAAGCTAACATAAGGAATATTAGCTCCCTTTTTTTTTAAAAAAAAAGTTGTGCCTCAATTTCAGACAGATGTCCAAAGCTAATATATGTTTTCTTTCTCCTGCAACAGCCTTGCCTTGAGGACAGCTTTCCCACTAAAAACAGAAGAAGAGATTCAGGAGTTACTTGATGCAGCGGGCTTCAGGCCAAATGTTAATGCTATTATATACAAGCTGTTATTCTTAGAGGTAAGTTGGATCATTGGATCAGAAGCAGTTCAATATTTATGGGGGGGAAACAGATTGGGATATGTAAGATTAGATTTCTAAAACTCAACACTGAGAAAGCATATAAAATATTATTTAGCTTTCTAAGCAGGGGGGAAAAAAAAACCTCACAAGATTTTGACCAATCTGTAATAGTGGGTGAGCAAAGAACAATTTCATTAAATAAAATGATATTGCTTCTAATTATTTCACTGTTCAGTTTTCTCACGTCAGCATGCCGGATTTTCCTCCTGGTGGTAAGCCAAAGGGCTCCACATTGACAAGACACATATCCATGTTTTAGGAAACCAGCCTATTGTAATTTATTCAGTAAACAAGCTTCACGGTTAAACAAGCTTTAGTTTTCAAAATATGTAAACCCAGCTAGTGAGTCCTCTGTATTCTTTTAGTGAGAAAAAAACAAAGCTCACTGTAATATTGAGAGAAGGGAGATGCTTAATAGCAACAGTGAACTTACACGCTGATAAAGCACTTCCATTCATTTACAGGACGAGGAAGGGAAAACAGAACCCCTAATTACAAAACTTAGGAACCAATATATGATCGAGAAACAGAACTATCTGAATGATCTACGTGCTGAACTAGGAACCTTGGTGTGAGTATGCGAGTGGGACATGACTCCCACTGGTTTAAGTACATCCAAATTCAGATTCATTGTAATCTCCTTGTCCACTTGCCTTCTGTTTGCATTTACAAGTAGCCTCTGTCTGCATCCAGACTAGGCATTTTTCATCTTTAGACCTTTCTAGTTAAAAAAAGGAGAAGAAAAAAAAGACAGGGGCAAAATTAGTTCAGTCAATAAGCTAAACATGTAACAAGCAGTCCTTGACATACGATCATAATTGAGCCTAAAATTCCTGTTGGCAAGCAAAACAGTGAACTGGGTTTTGCTCTATTTTTACGACCTTTCTTGCCACCGTTGCTAAGTGGATCACTGCAGTTGTTAGCAATGCAGCGGCAAAGCGAATCTGGCTTCCCCATGGACTTTGCTTGTCAGAGTTGCAAAAGGAGACCAAAGGACCCCAGGACACCGCAGCCGTCATAAATCCGACCCAGTTGTCAAGCATCCAAACTCTGATCACGGGACCATGGTGATGCTGCAACGGTCGTGTGAAAAAACCAGTCCTTTTAAGTCCCTTTTTTCAGTGCTATTGTAACTTTGAACCCTGATTAAACGGATGGGTTGTAAGTTGAGGACTTCCAACATTTTTATATCTCAATTGTCTGGGGGTTTTGGGTGTGTGTGCAGGAGTGGGATTCAAATTTCTTAACAACCAGTTCTGTGGGCGTGGCTTAACTTGTGGGTGTGGCTTGGTGGTCATGTGACTGGCTGGGCATGGCTTGTATGTAAATATTATAAATATTTATGTAAATATTGAATTTTTTATTAAAAAAAAGAGAAACTTTTACCCAAAACCAGGCAAAGCAGGCAGGCAGATTGAGTTGCTCACAGAATCACAGTATCACTCAGAGATCTACCATTCTGCAATCTGCTACCTGAGTCCGCACTGAAAAATAGAAGCTTCAGTCCTAAAGAAGGTTCAGCTCTGTTTTTAGATTAGCTAGAAAGCAAGAAATCCAACGATTTCCTGTTTTCTAAGGTAATCTAAACCTCCCAACACAACAGAACAGGTGATGGTCAGGAGGGAAAAATAGCAACTTACCAAACGCAGGCAAATTTGATGTCATGTACGCCAGGTAAGAAGTGAGCGGACGGGGAGGGGAGGGGCCATCCAGTGGTACAATTTGCCGGTTCTCCGAATTGCGCAGATTCATAACCAGTTCTAAAGAACTAGTCTGACCAGGTAGAATCCCACCCCTGGGCGCGTGAAATAAACTTGGAGGAACAAGCAGTGTCAACTTTAAATGGAAAATAGAATGCATTTAGAATGCAGGTTCCACAATAAGTTCACGTACCTTGTATACTTTTTTCAGCAATGGCTTTTGCTCTTTTTCTTCCCAGAGATGTGAGGCCTGATGACCTGAGGGCAGCTTTCTGCATAATTGACCACGGCTTAACCGAGCAGACCTTGGAATCTTACCTCTCTTACGCCTTCCAAGTCCCCAAAGAGCAGCTGGATCCTGCCGTCTCCGTTCCCGTAGAACTTCTGATGCAGAGGCTTATGACGGGAGATATCCACAGGCAAGGAGCGGCTCAGGGGCAGCCCCAGCACGCGTCCCCATCTCACACAGCTGAAGAAACAGATCATTCTGGGATCTGACTCAGCCCACTGGCTCTCCCCCTCTGAGATTACTTGAAATAATAGGATCTGTTGAGGTAGAACTGAGAACAGAAGCGCAGCTGATACCTGAGCTCCAGGAAGAAAGCTGGGATCCCGGTTGATTCCTTTAGGCTTAGACAAAACTTAAAATAATTACAAAACCCACTCTAGGTGCTTTTAAAATGTTTTTGAAAATCCACGCAAAACGTTTCATTTGGAGCATCCCATTTCTCAGGCTGGGTAACGAATTTCCACTCGTGTAGGAAGCATTTAAGGTGAATTTGGCAGAGCTTCAGGTCTGTTTGCAAAAAATAGCAGTATTTCCTTTCTCTGTGCCCATAAATATTCAACCACTGGAACCCATGAAGGAATGATAAAATGACAGGATGTTAAAATAATTTAAACCTTATGCAACTTCAGAAGTTTTGTGTTTTATTTATCCCTTTTGAACTACCTGCAGCTCGGCTGGGGGCTAGAAAGTGTATAAAAGTTTACATTACTAACACAGAAACCAGGGCAGCCAAGGAAATGAAGAGGTAGTGAAATGAAATTACAAAGCCAAAAAACATAACCACTTTTTTCCCTTGGCATTTCAATGTATTTTTTTTTCTAAGCTCCAGTTTGCACTGAAAAAGGAAGGGAAGCTTACCAAATCTTGAAAATTAATGGTTTCCAGATTAGTGATTTAAAAATGCATTGTATATAAACAATGATGTTAAGATGCAATAAACTATTAAATAAACTTCTCCTTATAAGTGTTCCTATGCCTGACATCAAAGGGCTTTGTGCTAGAGGATTCTTTTTTCAGTATGTTGCAGAACAACAGATATGAACTTATTAGGGATAAAACAAAAATCATTTTGTCCATTTTTTTAATCCAATGTATACTTTCCCTCCATAGCATGTGAAAGGGACCTGCTGTTATGAGAATAGTTTTGTGCTGTTCTTCCAAAGTTACTATGTAAGTCTCGGCTGTAAAAATGCATATGTTGGATACATTTATGTACACAAATCTGTTCATCAAGACAGACATTGCCCAGAATATGCATAATTGAATAGCTACATGACTGACATGGATCACCTCTAGTTTGATTTATTGATCTTTACTTAAGAACTGCATCTACTTAGGTTTGGATGTTTATTTATGAAAGAAAAACAGCTAAAATTACAAAAAGTCTCCTAAGTCCAATATCTTCAGAATACAAGGAAAGGTTTAGTAAAATTGGTATAAGACCGCAGGTTTTTGCTTGCTTGAGAACAAGAGTACAGAGAAAATAGTTTTATTCCAAGGTAATACAGAATGTTTTGGGCTGCATTTTTTTTTTTTTTGTACAAAATATAACTTGCAACCCTGATACAGACAGAAAAACAAGGTTCCTCCTGTACGCAGTAGCTGAGCCACAATAAGTGCAATTCAGCTTGTTTCTGAGAAGGTGCCATGCTTAAGTTAAATGCCATGTAAATGATTATGTCTTACGGACAAATCTACATCCGTTCGAGTCTGGAATCTTAGGAGATCATCTTCCTCCACTGCTTGTTTCCAAATGAGAAATGTTCTGTCACTGGCATCCAAGCGGTTCAGCTTCTCACTTCAGCTTCTGAGGGATCACTTTGTTCCCACTGACGGCGACCGGGATTAGCAGCTTCCTGTACTCCAAGGGCAAGTGTCGCTCGACCAGCACATTTAGAGGCGTCTTGTCTGTTATCAGCCCTTGCCTGGATTGTGGAGAAAGGGATCACAAGAGAACAAGACCAAAAGAAGCAGGCCTGAGAATCGGGATAGGGCTCGCCTCTTTCCAACAAATCCTGTCACATAGCCTAGGCCCCTCCAGTTTGGGCTTTGTAAACTGCCCTGAGGCTACAGGTAGTCCTCGAATTATGGAGCCCAAAATGTAGGTTGCTGTGTTGAGATATTTTGTTAAGTGAGTTTTGCCCCGTTTTATAACTTTTCTCATCACATTCGCTAACTGAATCACTGCAGTGGTTAAAAGTTAAGTTGCACAGTTGTTAAAAGTGAATCTGGTCTCCCCAGTCATTTCACTTGTCAGGAGGTTGCAAGAGGAGGATCCCCTGACCCCTGGGGCACTGCAGCTGTCATAAATATGAGTCAGTTATCAAGCATCCGGATGATAAATCACGTGGCCACGGGGATGCTGCGATGGTCAGAAGGGTGAGAGGTGGACACTTTTTTTCAGTGCCACTGTGTAACTTCGAAAAGTGACAAAATGAACTGTTTTAAGTTGAGGACAACCTGTTGTGGTTCGCTGGCAGCCTGTGCAGACGGCAGCGGAATCGGACAGTGGGGAAGAACGGGGACCAGTCCGGGAGTCTGGGGAGGGCTTGGCGGAGGGTCCTGCATCCGATACAGAGATAGAACCAGGACCATCTGTGAGTGGGGTGCTGCCTTTAGAGCCTCCAGAATCTGGCAGCAGTGAGGCAGAGGACCCGGGGAAGCCTGTTCCCGGTGTGCGTTTGCGCAGAGCTGCCAGAAGGCAAGAGCAGCTGAAACAAACGGGGCGGCTGGGGAGTAAGGCTGGGAGGTGATTGCCCCTCCCATCAGGAATAAAGGAGAGGCAAAGGTGAAGAAACCTTTGCAGGAAGCAAAGTCGTTTGCTCTGTTCTGATTAAACCTTGAACCTTGTACTTCGGTTAGTTTTTTTACAGTTCATTTGGCACTTTAGTTGTTGGCAACAATTCAAAGGAGATAAAGGTGGGTGCTTATCTCGAGGGACTATTTGGGACTCATTACGGGCTAGGAATGAACATAATTCCCAGCGTTGAAATAAAACCAGAGTTGTTTGGACTAAGCATGTGCTTATGAGGGTCCCAGGAAGCCTTGTGTCAGAACACTACCTGTATTCCTATAGTGTGTTCTTTGCTATTAATTACTACAATTCTGCACTCAACAGTTTTCTCTGCTAGTTTCTCAACCGTTTTTCCAGCTGTTTCTCAAGAAAGCAAAGAGTGGAGAAACATTACATCTCCTACCCATAATGTTAGCAGCAAGGAAACAGCCGAGAAGAGTCCTCCTCGAGTCTTAAGAACCACCACCAGCAGCCTGGTGCTCTCCGGATACGTTGTGTTTATGACAGCCAGAATTCCCAAGAACTGGACTGGCTAGGAGTTCTCACCCCCGAAACATCTGAAGAGCATCGTGGGTGGGGAAGCCTCCACGGAAATACCGTCTTCAGTCGATGCAGGGCCCTAGAGACCTTGCAACCCCACCCCACCCCTTACCGCCTCATCAGGAGCTCCAGGTCAGCCGGCTCTGCTGTCTTCCGTCGACCATGATTCACGTAGGCTTCCAGGTCGTTGCTCAGATGCTTGAAGTACACATTCACGCTACAAAAACGGGATGCCTAAAGTTAGCCGGGGGAGTAACGAGCATCGCTCCCTTCTCCGTGGAAGGCAGGTTGCAATGCAAGACCCCCCCTAAAGAAACCAAAAAGGTCTGATTGCCATTCAATACCCGTGAGCAGATTAGTCTCTTGGCAAGAAACCCAGGCATGATCACCGAAGGAGGGAGCGTCACACATTTGGGGTTTTTCTCTTCGCTCAGGGGTAGTTGGCAAGCCTCTTTTCTCTAAAAAGCAGCAACTGCCATGACTCACCACCTATCCACAACTTGCAACGCCTCTTTGGTTACTGGCATCTTGACGTAGTGGGTGAACATTTTTTTCACCAAGGTGCTGGGGAGGGACGGCTCCTGTTTTTCCCGGCGGGCTTTTTTAGCTGGCTTTGGAACCCGTTGAACCAAATTCTGTTTCACCGGCGACCTAAAAAGAAAAATATCAAAAAGACGGTCTAAACCAGTGGTGGCTAACCTTTTGGGGCTCCTGTGCCAAAAATTGTGTGTGCGCTCGAGTGCGTTCACATTCCAGCACCCAGAAGGTAATGCACGCGCGCCCCCCGCTGCCCCCTTACTTGCACTGTGCCTCACAGCTGATTTTCAGCCCGTTTGAGGCCTTTTTCGGCCTCCCAGAGGCTTGAGGAAGGCTTCTGCACTTCTATAGGAAGTGACAAAATGGGCCTATTTTTCGGCCTGCAAAGGCTGCAGAAGCCTTCCTCAAGCCTCTGGAAGGCTGAAAAAGGCCTTAAATGGGCTGAAAATCAGCTGTGAGGCCCATGTATGTGCAGTGAGGTAAATTTGCCTGCAGCTCACGTGCCGACACAAATGGCTTTGTGTACCACCTGTGCCACGTGTGCCACAGGTTCGCCATCACGGGTCTGAACAATCGCATAATCTACTGCAGGAAGAGGAAACCCAGGTGCTGCAGAAGGCCACCTCTCAGGTACTTCCAGATGGCATGGCCAACAATCTGGAGAATCCACACATCTTAAACCCTGTATTGGGTCTAAATGCCAGTCACGGGAGGCTGGAGTTCTTTTTCTCTGGCAGTCAAGAGTGAGGCAAGGCAAAGCATTCCTGGCAACCACACCATCTACTATATTGTAAGCCATTCAAGTCAACTGAAACTGCAAGAGGGGTTTTAAGTTTTAAATTTAAGAAATAACGCGGGTAGTTATCGAGTTTTCACCACAATTGAGCCCCAAATTTCTGTTGCTAAGTGAAACATCTGTTAAGTGAGTTTGCCCCATTTTACCAGTTTTCTTGCCACGGTTGTTAAGTGAATCCTTGCATTTGTTAGTAGAAATAGCACTTAGACTTATATACTGCTTTAAAATGCTTTATAGCCCTTTCTAAGCGGTTTACAGAGTCAGCCTATTGCCCCCGACAATCTGGGCCCTCATTTTACCCACCTCGGAAGGATGGCAGGCTGAGTCAACCTTGAGCCTGGTGGGATTTGAACTGCCAAATTGCAGCCAGCAGGCAGCAGGCAGCAGAAGCAGCCTGCAGCACTGCACTCTAATCATCGCTCATAAGCCACAGTGGGGCATTTGTTAAGTTAGTCACACGGCTATGAATTGAATTTGGCTTTCCCATTGACTTTGCATGCCAGAAGTTTGCAAAATGGGGATTGTGTGACTCTGGGGTACTGCGGCCGTCATAAATATAAAGCACTTGCCAAGCATCTTTGAATTTAGAGATGTGACCACGGTTGTAAGTGTGAAAAACAGTCAGAAGTCACTTTTTTCACTGCCATTGTAACTTTAAACCAGGCACTAAATGAACTGTTCTAAGTGGAGGTCTGCCTCTAAATACAGAGTGGTTAGGGGGTTAGAGGTCCATCTCCCTAAAATTGCATACATACCCAGACGCCACTTCTTTCGATACACGTGGGCTGGACAGCAGTG